GTGGTCTGGAAAAAACTGAACTAGAATTTCGTCCTAAAATGCTGCCTTTTTCCATGAGCAAATTATTTCAGGGGGGGGGGCAAAATTGCCGACAGGAGGGGCCAGTAAAAGGGCTGGGGGGACATGTAAAAGAAGCCCTGATTAATGTTATATCACTGCTGTGGTGTTTGGAAAAATTACATAATTGATAATTATTTAGAATATTGTCATTTGATACTTTATTGCATGGTTGCTCATCTCAAAATTTTAATACACCCTCTTCTTCTCATTTAGTATCCTTGCTGCTTTTATATCCCCCATATTTTTTCTCCTACCTCACCCCTTTCCGTTTTTAATGGCCACAGCGGCACAGCCTTCAGTGGCTAACTGCCTAACATATTATAATTACTATATATAAAATATTTAATTAAAGGGCACCGTCATCAAAATTTTTATTTTTTTAAACGAAAATGCTCTTAAAACTGCATAGTAACTTGTTTTGAAGATTTTTGTTCCCATGCTTAGTTCTTGAGATATTTCATTTTGTAACCATGTGACGTCATTTACTCAATTACATATATAATGAGATATCAGTAATTGTTGTGTATCTTTGCTATTTTTATCAAAATCTTTCGAACGATGCGGCGTGTTTGTTAATTTAGCCTACATCATTAAGCATACTGGGTTTTTTTAACAAATCGATCAAAAATAGCAAAGATACACAACAATTACTGATATCTCATTATAGATGTAATCGAGTACACGACGTCACATGGTTACAAACAAAATGAAATATCTCAAGAACTAAGCATGGGAACAAAGTTATCTTCAAAACAAGTTATTATACAGTTTTAAGAACATTTTCGTTTAAGAAAATAAAAATTTGGTGACAGTGCCCCTTTAATCATATTCCCTCATTTCTTAATATGTACTTTAGATTAATTTGTTCTAACTGGTCTTAAATTGAACCTTGACAAGTATAAAAATCATCTGGCATTTTAAACAGAGTTAAAATACTCATTAATAATTCATAAACCTTGTGGCAAATCATGTTGGCCATAATATGTCACGTGGAGTGACTTTATATCTGATAAAGCATGAGGCATTATATAATTGTTCATCCTAATTAGTATGATTATATAATGGTTCATCCTAATTAGTATTCTTTTGTAGTCGTATTTTAAGCTATTCAGAATACCCGTTGTCGTGTTTTATCAGACATAAAACGCTCGGCTGCGCCTCGCGTTTTATATCTGATAAAACACTCCTACTCGTGTTTTAAATAGTACTAAAATAGTAAGGTAGGGTGAGGTGCATTGCCAGGTTAACATGTGATTAATAAACCTATTAAGTGGCAGCAACTTCGTTCCCATGACCTTTCGGAGTGGCAGCCCTTTCCTTTGATGAGTAAAATCATCTGGCATTAGACAAAGTAAAATAGTAAAGTAGCGTGCATCAGGGCACATAACTATGGCGTGCCGATACGGACAAAAATACTTCTTTGTAATATGTTACTTGTTTTGAGATTACAAACATGTTGGTCTGATATAAATATATGACTTGTGGAGAAATGCAGAGTTTCTTTGCGAGATATACAACTTCTATTACAAAAACATATCAAGTTCTATTTCCAAAATATACTAGGATGTCTATTTCAAAAATATAGTACTTCTTTTTGAAAATTATAATACTTCTGTTTCAAAAATATAGTACTTCTTTTTGAAAATTATAATACTTCTGTTTCAAAAATATAGTATTTTAATGACGCCCGCGAACGGTCAGTAAAATTCAATAATTTTTATTGGAAGGAAATTTATTCAAAAATAAGAAAATTTTGAACGGTTGGAAGGAAATTATGTTTTCTAAAAATGGAAGCACTGTTTATATTTGACATGAAGTAGTTCCATTTGATCTCAAAATAGTCCGCTGACCGTTCGCGGGCGTCATAGAAGTATTATAATTTTCAAAAAGAAGTACTATATTTTGAAACAGAAGTATTATAATTTTCAAAAAGAAGTACTATATTTTGGAAATAGAACTTGCTATGTTTTTGTAACAGAAGTTGTATATCTCGCGAAGAAACTCTGCATTTCTCCTATTATAATTTTCAAAAAGAAGTACTATATTTTTGAAACAGAAGTATTATAATTTTCAAAAAGAAGTACTATATTTTGGAAATAGAACTTGCTATGTTTTTGTAACAGAAGTTGTATATCTCGCGAAGAAACTCTGCATTTCTCCACAAGTCATATATTTATATCAGACCAACATGTTTGTAATCTCAAAACAAGTAACATATTACAAATAAGTATGTTTGTCCGTATCGGCATGCCATACATAATATTGTCACTTAAAGGGTTAATATCGATTGTAGATTCGTAACAACAAGGGTGAGAATAACTTTTCAACCAATCACCATTCAGAAGCCAGGAAATTGAATGTCCAACTACATTTCATATTTGTGCTATACTTGAATCAGGATCAGGACCTATGATCAGGATCTATGTACTACATACAACATGAGCGGCCGTGTTGTATCGGATATACAAACTCGAGCCGAAGGCGACAGTTTGTATATCCGATACAACACGGACGCGAATGTTGTAAATTAACTTAAAAAACGACTCATCTTATGAGTTCATTGGCGAAGTAATTTTAAAAATAAACGTTGTCTAAGCCGAGAAAATCAAAGTTAAAGTTTATGTAAATCAACATGAATCTGTATCACATATACAGATACGACACGCTTATGATTTTTCTTTGTGTTTTCGTCATGAATTATTAATGAGTTTTTTAAGTTCAAATAGTCCCCAAGACCCGCCTACTAAAGACCCACTTTCTGGCAACCACATAAGATCTGTAAGAACTGTAACGTACTTATATACGGAACTGTTACTATTACTTGTGTGTGGTAGTTACCGATCATAGGATCTTGCGAAAAGGGTGCCAGGCATAATGGTCTGGGGGCCGCCGGCACCCTCCCCCGTCGTTTGTTCGATTAAGAACTGTAACGTACTTATATACGGAACTGTTACTATTACTTGTGTGTGGTAGTTACCGATCATAGGATCTTGCGAAAAGGGTGCCAGGCATAATGGTCTGGGGGCCGCCGGCACCCTCCCCCGTCGTTTGTTCGATACCGGTTGGTAAGCCACCTATTCACCGCCTCTGACGATAGCGTTGAGTTTAGCCGAAATCTATAGCTTAAACGTTAACATACGGCGTTCTAGCGGCTAGCACGAGACGGACTTGACCGATACGGGCTAGCAGAGTCGGGAAGTATGGACTGATGAGGCACTTTTCTTTTTAAAAATTTTATTTCTAATTTACCATTCGATATAAAACAGATCTTTTAATTTACCGATCAATTGAATTGAATTGCGACTAAAAAAAGTTAGCAGTGTGTTTTGTGCTTTTTATCTAACTTATAAAAATCTAAAAATGTATCTTTACCACTTTTTTATGTCATGTCAAATTTAAAAACAAAATTAGAAACCTAAATTAAACTACTCTAAAGACTAAAGTTCTAAAGTTTTAGTTTCACGCCAGCAGGATACCAGCTATTTCGCCATTTTGTAGGTACCCGTCTACTTTCTGGTCCGCCTTCAATTTAACCAATCAGATTACGATCCAAAAAAACTCGTAACGTTTATATTTTTATATTTTGTACTGTTTTGTTTTCTTTTTTTTGCGACCTTTGAACAACTTAAACAATTACTTTGTTCCGTACCAATACTATGTTACCCAGACTTTGCCCAAGAATTTGTATTGCACGGACGCTTCTGACGTTGGTGTAGGAGCTGTTCTTTCTAGGGGGGGGGGGGTGAATAGGGGTATACAAATCCGCCGATCCGCCCAAATTTGAAGCAAAATCCGCGATCCGAGCCAAAATATTAGATAAATCCGCAATCTGCTGTATTAATAAGATCCGAAATCCGTGTAAAACATTCGCCAGATCCGAAACCCGGACAATTTACGATCCGAAACCTGATACCCCCCTTTCTACTAAATAGCCGGCAAACAAAAATTTGATTGTGTTCCCAGGAAAGTCTTGGATCACAAAAACAGTATTCTGCAGCCTCTGCAGGTGGTCTACCCAGAGGGTGGGAAAGGGGGGGGGTATGGATCACGTTTCCCAACGGAAAAAAAAGCCGTTTCACGATTCACGTGTCTTAAAAAAGCAATTTCACGGAAAACTAGATTCTCATAAAATAATATAATAGGTTTATTAAGACTATGTTTAATGCATGGTACAGTATCTACGGTTTGAGTTCTCTCATTTCTCTACCTGTCAGTTAAAAACTACATCATAACTTACAAGTTTGAGTGCGTGTCCTCAGCGCCAGGAACCTTGTCCTCAGCGCCAGGAACCTTGTCCTCACCGCCAGGAACCTTGTCCTCACCGCCAGGAACCTTGTCTCAGCCCCAGAAACCTTGTCCTCACCGCCAGGAACCTTGTCCTCATCGCTAGAAACCTTGTCCTCACTGCCAGAAACCTTGTCCTCACCGCCAGGAACCTTGTCCTCACCGCCAGGAACCTTGTCCTCACCGCCAGGAACCTTGTCCTCGCCGCCAGGAACCTTGTCCTCGCCGCCAGAAACCTTGTCCTCGCCGCCAGGAACCTTGTCCTCACCACCAGGAACCTTGTCCTCACCGCCAGGAACCTTGTCCTCACCGCCAGGAACCTTGTCTTCAGCGTCAGGAACCTTGTCCTCAGCGTCAGGAACCTTGTCCTCAGCGTCAGGAACCTTGTCCTCAGCGTCAGGAACCTTGTCCTCAGCGTCAGGAACCTTGTCCTCAGCGTCAGGAACCTCGCGAAAGCCTGCGAAGTTTTCACTCTTGTGCAATCGAGCGTCAGGAACCTTGTCCTCAGCGTCAGGAACCTCGCGAAAGGCCTGCGAAGTTTTCACTCTTGTGCAATCGAGTGATATCATATAAATTTGATTATCGCGTATCATGTTTATTATAATAATCACTATAATAATCACAGTTCACGAAACAGGCATCCTTAATTCTCATTTCACCGAGCATTTTTATCAACAATTACGCCTCACGGCTGTAGAACAAATCACATTTCACGACACTAAAATCAAGCATTTCACATTTCACACGAACAAATATTCACCATTCACGGCTCACAAAAATTCCCTTTCCCACTCTCTTTATAGCTCAGTCGAATACAAATTGCCAACAAGTTTGTAACAAGCTGTTAACAACTTGTAACAAGCTTGATGATATTATCAGATTTGGTACAAGGTTGTTCTAACAAGTCTGATACAGTCATGATACAACAAGAATGTTACAAGGTTAACGGCACAAGGTTGCAACAATATTGTTTTATCAAGAGTGACTGTATCGGACTTGTTGGAACAACATCAATCTGTTACAAGTTGTTAACAGATTATTCCAAACTTGTCAGATGGCCACGCAGCTACCCGTCATGCATCAGTAACGTGAAATTTCCTTTTTTCTTTCATAATTCAAAATTTCCTTCATGATCATACTTCCTAGAACTTTGACTGCGAGCGATTTTAACCAATCACAATGCTCGACACTTGATGTAGTTTGTGAATTGGTTTTTATGATGAACAAGCTCACGCTTCCGTAGCTTTGCGTGCAACAATTTTTGGAATTTCGAGAACATTCGCTTTCCTTAAAAACAATGCTTATGATAAGCGAGTGAAGGCTGTTTGGATAAGTATACTTCATGTTTTCAGCATTATTTTGATTGCTAAACCGATTACCGGACACGCTAGGGGAGGACTTCATCAGCTTATGATGTCAGTAGTTTGTATTGCGCATCAATCTAGGAGGTACTTTGCTATTATATCTGATGTTAGACGATCAGTCAACATTTATGACAAATATTAGTGTATTAACTGTTACTGTGTAACACATTGGGTGAACTCCAGAAATATTGTCAGTATAATAGTAGCCAGAAAATTAAACCTATCTGATTCAGTTATGCATCTAAATACGGGACTACTGTATATAATGAAAAAATCAACATTATTTTTCCACTTTAGAACATCTACCGGTTGACCGACCATTATTATTCTACTTCATCAGCTAATTCAGCTTATGTCACTATTGTTCGCATTGCGCGTCATCCTCGCAAGTACTTTGCTATGATCTGGTGTTAGATGCAAAAATCTATGGCAAATATTAGTGGATTTCATAAGCTTATATTTAAAAGTAGCAAAGGTTCTCGGCATCTAAAATGCTGTTACCTTATTACCCAATGAATTAAACGTATTTCTTAAAAATTGTAATAAGTGATTACTCAATTATGTTAGCAAGTAGCAACCTATGAAGTTGGTTTTGCAATTTCTACCCCAATATTCCAAATTTAGAAACATAATCGCGCTTTGAAAAGCAGCAAATCTATTTTGTTCAGGGTGCTTCCAAATGCAAGACCACCACATATAATATTATTTTCTCTTTGATAACTTTGCTGCTTAGTTCTTATTTTTAACTTGTAATCCATCGACGCCTGTTTATACCGTAAAAAAGTTTGCTGCGTCATAAAATTATTACACCTTCGAAAGAGCTTCAAAGAAACTTTGCAAGAGTAAAATTGCTGACTTGGTTTTGCGCCCGAACTCGCATGAAAAAAAAGATTAAAAATAGCTCGACGTTTCTTGCCAAAATCAACTTTCAATATGCAAGTGAAAAATAAAAAAAAAGCCCATACGCATTCATAAAGCAATAAAAAATTTAGATTCTTCTATTTTACTCATGGTAATCCTAGATTTTATCCAACATTGAGAAGATAGAATAATAATTCAACAGTAGCACTCGAGAAGTACAGCCGGGTTCAATTCCGGACATCCTTGTATGGTATTCATTACGAGAGAGATACATCTTTATTACTTTGAATACCCTGCTAACACAAATAAAGACTTACAAAGATTAGGTGAAGTAAACTGCTCAAAAGATTACCTCGCAGACAATAAAAACAAACTTATTCACAAGCTTCGCACGCGAAAAATGCCAGACAGATGATGCATACATGTTCTTGGTACAAACCCTATAAAATTCAACCAAAACTCTTGAAGGAATGGTATTAGTTCTAACTTTGAATGAGTTCTAACTCGTGCAAAGTGAAATTATATTCTACCTGATTACAAAAGTCCGAAGGATTTTGTAAATAGAAATTATCGTAAATTTTATATACATTTGTTAGACCTATAAACCAGCAACAACTGCGAAAAGTACAGCAATTCTCTGGTAGGATTTGAACCGGCGATTCTGCATGGTGCAGCGCTCTAACCAACTGAGCTACATAAGCCAATTTTCGAGGTCTGACCACAAATTCCTGTACATATACTAAGGTACTGTCATATTAGGGCATGGGTGAATATTTGATATTTACAAAAGCCCAAAGTATTGCAAATAAGGTCTATTGAATGGTTAATATCTTAAATGCAGGATTCTAGTGTAGGTATAGTATTCAATAACAATGCCAAGGATTTGTGTCTATAAGTATAAACTTTTGAAAAAAAGTCGAAGGTTTGTCGAAGGTTTCAAGCGAGGACATTTCGTGTGCTGTAAACTCGAGGTCAGTTCAATATGTAAGCGGATAAACTTGGCACGTGATTAAAGTCAACACCTTGCCAATTCAGCTAAGAACTGATAAACAGACTGTATCCTAAGCCGAAATCAAAAGTCAACATTTCAATGAAGTGTGCAATGGAAGCCTCACGCAAGAAGAGCTCATCCACAACATTTTCTATCAACAGTATATTACAAGAAGAGAAGAGATCAAAAATGAACGAGGAACTAACAACTGTGACCTACATACATGATTTTGGAGGGATCACAGCTCAGAATCATAAAAGGTTACCAGAGCCTGTTCAGAACACAACGCCACAAAACTGCGTCACGATTGGAGAATCTTCGCAAACATCGTTCTCATCACACGGACTCATTCCAAATGAAGGACCGAACACAGGTTTGAATACGGCACAATTTGGTATATATACCTATACACCGGCCCCCCACGTTTGAGATATCTTCAGTCTTCAGGAAGTTCAGACACAAACTACGGCAGCTTATTGTAGAATACTACTTGCACAGGACCACCACGTTTGAGATATCTTTTTCAGGTAGTTCAGACACAAACCACGGCAGCTTATTGTAGAATATTACCTACAACTGGACTCCACGTTTGAGTGATCTTTTGCAGGTAGTTCACGATCAGACACAAACTACGGCAGCTTATTGTAGAATACTATACCTACACTGTACGACCACGTTTGAGATATCTTTCGCAGGCAGTTCATGATCAGACACAAACCACGACAGCTTATTGCACTGGGTCAAACCAAACGTTTGAGATAACAATGATTTAAATTCTCCTTTCAGGCAAAAGTGCCTCAACACCTTCGAGTAAAGACGCAACTACAAACAGCTCAACAAAATCGAAACCAAAAAGACGTGTGCTGTTTACCAGAGCACAAGTATTCGAGCTTGAGCGAAGATTTCGCGTCCAAAAATATTTATCTGCCGTCGAACGAGAACAACTGGCGCGAATCACAAATCTCACGCCTACACAGATTAAGGTGTGGTATCAAAATCATCGTTATAAGAATAAAAAGCAAAATGTCCAGGAATCGACCAAGACGCAACAACTTTGGGACTTGTACGAGTATGGTAGAAATAGACAAATGTTAGAACAAATGTTTCCATGTGCAACTACACCACATGTAACTCCTAGTATTAACCTAGCTGCAATGAATTATGGAACGCATATTACCCGGTTGCAGAAGTGAGTATTAATGTGTACTATATGAGATCAATGAGTAGTATATGTATAGGAAACAAAGGATGTTTCTAGAACACAAGAAACGCCTGATTAAATACACATCATGACAAATATAGCTTAGCAGCCTTACCTCATACTACAGAACAGTCGTTAAATTATTATATATGACATAGAATGATGCGAACTACAGCACTTACTGAAATTGTAAATTTATGGTAGGTAATAAAACTAAATATCTATCTATTGTCTTAAATAGTACTTAAAGCATCTATTCTAATTTTACGCGATATTGAAGATGGCAGTATTAATATTTACATTTTTATGAAATGATGAAACCTGATAAAAATTAAACGTCTATTACCATGTTCCGGGTGGGGCGGTGAATATTTATATGCTATTTCAATTACCAGGCGATACGCATAATAATTAAACAGTAGGAGTTTTTAGACCTGTTTTATACGTCGAATTTCGGTCGCGTCGAATGCAATTCAAACAATAGATAATTATGAAGTTTAATGAGGTTTGTCATCTCATTATCTATTGTCTTAATTACATTCGACGCGACCAAAATTCGACGTATAAAACAGGCCTGATGTTGGCCTGATGCCTATATGGATTTAGATTGCATTCGACTAACTTAGGATACAAATTGAGTCAGTTAGATTCCACCTAGTTAACGTTCGCGCTTGGCTTTAACATCCATATTTATCATAAAATAATGTATTCAAGTATTCAAGCCCTTTCATTGGTCGAGAGCCATGATCGGCTATAAGAAGACAGACGAACGGAATCACGTCACACAAAACCTTATCCAATGGACATTCCCTTATTTGTATACCGTAGTTAGATGCAGGAAAAAGTATGTCTGCCAGCTCATCTGACTTGGCGAGATAACCATATTCATAACAACTACGTGGAAAATCTCCTTATCCAACTAAGGAAAAAATAATTGAAAACTTCAGGACCAATTTTCCTATTTTTCCAAAACTAAGGAGAAACTGGGGGGGGGGGGCTTAACCTCGTAATGCTTCTAAAAATAGAAACATTTTCCGCGGGGACGGATGGCCGAACACCCTCTACTTGTTCTGTGTATTCGACGATTGGACCACCCCCCCCCCCACTAGTTCAGGACCGACTACGCCCCCTGAGCGCACGTTCCGGCTTTCACCTCTATAATCAAATTGTATAGGAAATACCTCTATAATAGTAGAAGGTTAATTTTATTAGCAAGAAACACTCACCATATAGCTGACAGGCAACTCCAGCATAATCTTTCGGACAGAGACAACCATTTGGCTTGACACACACACCGTTATTTAAACATGGACGAACACAATATACTGAAAAAAATAATAGTAATTCTTATTAATAATTCTCATGAATTATCTCATCGAAAAAATCGTAAAAGATAAAAAATCTTAAATCGAAAGTGTATTTTACTAATTTTAATATGCATACTTTTCCGAGTTTACCACAGATACATAAGGGCTAATTTATGGCATAATAGAATTATATTTATTCGGTAGCCATGTTAGAAAAAGGTCTATTTCCAAGACCGAAATATGTCTAGAATTTGTCTAGAATATCACTGAATTTTATTTAGTTGTGATAAACTTTTCAAAACCATAACTATTTGTTGTCGTTTACTTGCAGAAAATGCTTTCGTTGGCAACTGAAAATAAAATATGTTTTTGCAGCCCTGCCCGTAGGAAGGTAAGGTCCTGACAGGAGTAAAATGGGAAATTGGAAATGGGAAAACCAAATGAACATACCATCATAATGACAATCTCGTTCCCAGAGCATGCCCGTTCGCAGGTTAGGGTTGGGCGTACCCTACCCTGTGAACGGGCATGCTCTGGTAACGAGATTGTCATAAAGACAACTGTAGAGTTTAAATAACTTCAAGGAGAGCTAACGAACAACGTTTGATTCAGAGTTTGTCTAAAAATGTCCTGAAAGACCGCACTCTGCCCTTTTCTGCTCGAGACAGTGATTTGCTTAGTATGTGACAGAAAATGACGCTTGGTATTTACTTTGTTCTCACAAAAAATAACACTTACGTTCTTGTAGAAGATGCAGACAGGATTTAAATCTATGCCCTCCTCAAATACATTATTCATGAAAAGCTGTTTACATACGATAATCCAGGGATAATAAAACAAAAATAACACTCAATGTTTCTCACCATATTGGCAAACATCTCCCCAATATCCATATGGGCAAGAGCATTGATCTTTCTTGAAACAACGTCCTCCATTTTGACATTGCCGTTGACAAACAGCTGGAAAAATGACAATATTTTTCAAGCAATGAATGAACATCAAATACTGCCCAGCCATGGGATAACGATCGATACAGTTCAAAACTTGACTGTTATACGGGTCAATGAATTCTTATTTCTCATATTTCTCGGTTGTTTTGTTTATAAAAATGGCTTCGAATATCGAGGCTTTTTAAATTATATGGACATGCGCTCACGGCCCTGGTATATTTTCAACTGTTGTAAAAAAGACTAAAACTATGGATACGGGCAACTCAATTAATAAAAAACCCCATTTATTTTATAAATACTGAAGTTTAATCTGAGTTATACCAATAAAAGGACAATTTTAGAATACAAGAAAAAAATCGACATCCGCTGAATTGCGCTATCCGGCCTTCGTACATCGTTTGTCAAGTACTTCCTCGAAAATTTCTTCGTTCGAAGTAAAGACGAACGTCTTTGCGAAAGTCTAAACCGGCCCCAGTTCCTTAATTTCCATCATTCAACTTTTGACAAAAATTAGCATAATCCCCGACATTTTCGGGTGTAGTGTCTGCGCGCAGGCTAGCATTAACCCAGATAATGACTAAACCGCACTGCTAATCGACAATGAGCAACGTCTAATTTAATCCAGGGATTGGTCAGCCAGGGTTGGGTTAAAATAAATAACCGTCTCCAGGGCGATCCAGGGTTACATTTATCCACGCTTTTCAACAATCGGTCTCAAGCAAACGTTGTAGCAAAATAATTAGCTACATCAACACCATGCAATAATGTAAATAACATTTACACTCAACATTTCCATCTATAAAACCCTTCAAATCGAGTGAGATTCCCCCCGCCCTCCCCCCCCACCCAAAAAAAAATCCTGATATTTGAAAACGTACCCTTACCAGTCTGGCAGCGACTGCCTCGGTAACCTTCTGGACAAGAGCAAACGTTGTTCCTCACGCAGATTCCCCCATTTCTGCATTGTGGTGTGCATGTTCCTAGATAACGAAGGAATACTGATATAAGAATTTTGTCCGGAAGACGCAGGGTACTGGTGAAGGAAAAATGATTATGATAATCCTCTGAGATCGTGAGTTGGGTCATGATTTGGTTTGGAAAATTCATGTAGAAAGAGTTCGGGAAATTGAAGGCTACGGTGGGACTACTGTGGCAATCGGTTAATCAGGCTTTAAAATTATGGACATTGTCCGACCTATTCGTGAAATTATCCGACGTAGAGAGGAAGAAATCCAGGGGCCCAACTTAACTGTACGTATTAGGGGGTTGGGAGTTCTTCTTGCCCGAAAAAAGGGCGTGGTCACCAATCAATCTGCTATGAAATTCGTGAACTTTTCTATCTTTACCTCAGATGATTTCAACTGCTTTGCTCGACATGCAAAGTATCCCGTCATACAAAACCCGAGTATCCTAGAGGCTCGTATGTTAAATGGTGAATCAGAGTATAGTGAACTGGAAATGTTGTTTTAATGTAATTGAGCGCGGGGCGGTGAGCGAAATGGTTAAGTGGAAAACGGGATTAAGTTGTCGAAGTCTTACTGATGGTATTGGCAAGCAAGTTAATTTTGGATTGGAAATAAGTATGAATGACACAAATTATTTAATATCTTTACAACATTTACCGTTCAGAATCAATATATTGTGTCATTCAGACTTATTTCTGAGCCAAACTGAACTGAAGGTCATCGCATGCACATCATCTTACATATGTCCGACCCAAACGGAAAGTTAGACGGCCCTGTGAAAGATATTTTAAGATAATACTGCAAGCATATATAAAGTGGAACAACGGTGCAATTAGTTATATCACCTTCTATATTAATAATGGACGACGATCAAAGGTAAAATTATTTTGTGTTGGGCTATGTTCTCAAGTTTCTGAAATATGATTTGGATTACCCAGGCTTCATCTGTCTTAAACTAGCGATACCTAAGATCCTTTACCTTCTTGACATCGTGTCCCAAAGTATCCCGGCAAACACTGACATTTCCCTGGTTTCACACACTGTCCCCCGTTAAGACATCTCAACGGACAAACAGCTAGAAAGAGAAGATGGATACCAATTATCATCATCATAAGTTGACCATCATCTCCTGCACGATAGTGCTTAGTGAAACTCAAACGTTATGACTTTATCAGTTACGACTTACGTTGGTCACAAAACGGGCCCGCATAACCAGGAAGACAGCGGCATTTCCCGGGCGGGATACATATTCCACCATTCATACATTTCACATTGCATCGTGCTGTGGAAAGAAATTGTCTTATTTCTCATGCTGAATGTGACAACAACAACAACAACAACAACAACAACAACAACAACAACAAGAAACGACAACAACAACGACAACGACAACAACGACGACAGCAACAACAACGACAACAACGACACGACAACGACAACGACAACAACAACAATCATTCCAAATAATGACAAAAAACGTCTTACCATTCTCGCATCTTTCACCAAAGTAAGACAACGACAACAACGACGACAGCAACAACAGCAACGACAACAACGACACGACAACGACAACGACAACAACAACATCATTCCAAATAATGACAAAAAACGTCTTACCATTCTCGCATCTTTCACCAAAGTAAGCCATAGGACAACGGCATTTTCCTGGTGCTATACAACGCCCACCATTTAAACAGCGTTTCTTACAGAACGCTACAAATTAACAGAGAAAAAAGTAGATAGATCATTATATCATCAAGAATGTTGGGTGACAGTATAGGTAGCGAATGAGGTAATGTCACCGCCCAGCGAGGTTTATTACCTATTATAATACGTATATATAATGTACGAAAATACTGTACCTCTGGCACAAGTAATCCCAATAAACCCCCGGCGACACCTGCACACCCCGGGAGCCACACACGCGCCTGCATTTTGACACGGGAGCTCACATAACACTAAGAAAGAAACATATATTAGATTGAAGTCAAACAGATGAGACAGGGTGATGACTAAGATAGCTTATCAGGTCTGAATTCTTCATTCTCATTCAAAGTTAAAAAGGAATAAAATATACCTCTACACTGGAAACCGTTACCAAAGAAACCAAGTGGACACGGCCCACAACGAATCTGAGAATGAGCGATAGAACACTGGACTCCAGGGAAGCAAAACTGACGTGGACATGGCAGACTCACACTCTTCTTCACTTCATCTTCAATCATATTTAAGAAGAAAATATAAATATAGAGACTAGATATCCGAAAACGATGCAGGACACTAACCAACTGAGCTACAGAGTCCAGATGAATCGCAGGGCCGCAGGTTCGATTGCAGCCGAGGGCCTTTCGCAGTTGCTCCTCAAATATCAATTAAAAAATAAATACCAACCCCGGGACAAAAACTTTACACACAATTCAGGATACCATTCAGTTGTCACACATGTCCTGAACCACTTCTGTGCATCAGTTTTATAATTGCTTGTGCAATTTTCTGTAGTCGAAAGTTTCATGTTGTCTGCACATGCACTTTCTTTTGACCATATTTGCCTCCGGGCAAATCGGAAAATGATCAAGATAGTCACTTGAAAATGATCAAGATAGTCAAATACGACTGTTGATACTGCTCTTCAGTCTTCAATATTTGAGTGAGTCATGCTTTGGCCAACCCTTGAATGGTTTTGGGTTTTCATTTACCCAACCTTTTACTCAGTCAAAATGTTGTTTACTCAACCCTTTTCTCTACCTAAGGATTATTAGTTCACCCCCTCTTACTTACCAACATGACACTTTATTCCATCACCAACGTACCCAGACGGACATTCCGCACATCTAAACGTTAGTTCATCCACATTGCTGCATCCTACTCCTGGAAAACACGGATTCTTGGAACACGGCCGATGATCGATTTGACATAACGCGCCGGAGAAACCCGAATCACATGCGCACGTAAACGTTCCTTCAAGCACGGACGAACAACGACCGTGCACGCACGGGCTGGACGCGCAAATATCGAAACGTTTCTCGCACAGGCGACCAACGTACGAACGTTCGCACTTGCATCGAAAATCAGTATCCGAAACGACCACGCATTTTCCATGGACGCATGGATTCATGTCACAAGGGCTGGTTTTTCTTTCTTCTTTGCAAAATGGGTTGAGATAACCTGATGGACACTTGCATGAAAATGTACCGTTAGAGTTCAGCAAACATTGCCCTACACCGCAGGGTTTTGATAAGCATGGGTTGATTCGTTCGTTACAAAGCGAACCTTGAAAACCGGGATTGCATGAACAAGTAAACGAGTTGCCCTCAGTTGCAATGCATAGACCATTGAAACAAGGGCTCGCATCACAGGGCTGTCTCCGTCTGTTACAGAAGGGACCAATGTAGTCTCTAGCACAGCGGCAAACTGGTTCACCATTCACAAGGATGCAAGTACCATTATGACAGTTGACTGTAGAGCATGCTGAGGTATTACATGAAGTACCACTGTACCCTGGGTAACAGTGACACAGATGGCCCAAGTTAACGTTTATACAAATTCCATGTACGCAAGGGCTTGATTCACATGACTTGGTTTTTATCTTACAGCTTGGGCCTGTATATCCCGCGTGACAGACACACACAGTCCCACTAGGGGTCCACGAACACGTGCCGTTCACGCAGTCAATGTTACATGAAGTATCACACTGTTTGCCGATATAATATTTGTGGCAAACACACGTCTGACCAGTCGTATCGCAGGCACCGTTTACACACCGCGTATTTCCACAATAAAGTCCAGTCATGTTACAAAATTTCCCGTGACGCTTCGGAGGGCATACGCAACGCATGTTATTAAATCTCAGATCAATACAGCGCCCGCGATGACACGGATTTGGCTGACAAGCGGTAGTCCGTTTGGAACAAAATTTCCCATGAAAACCTTGCGGGCAAACGCATTCAAATGATTGAGTATTATTGCTTTGGTGAAATGATTCGTCACTGTTGCTACGGCAACGACCGCGCACACAGGGATCCCTAGCACAAAGACTCAGTTCAATCTCACAGAGACCGCCGCCGTAAAAACGTGGACACTTGCACTGAAATCCGTCCCCAATCTCTTCGCATTTTCCATGGTTACAAGGACTCGAATAACATGCCGGACGTTTAAGATGACATAAGTTGCCATGGTAACCAAGGTCACACATACATCGAAAGTCGTTCCCATTCTTCTCGCACTTGCCGTGAATACATGGATTCGGCATACATGGCGAAACCTTCATCTCACAATAAACACCTTTGAAATTTTCTGGACAGGAACAATTGAACTCATCTTTGGAGATTTCGATACATTTTCCAGCATTTTTACACGGACATTTTCGGACAACAACGTCCACATATTTCGACGCAGTTCGCCCACAATTGTCCGTTGCTAAAAACTGAATAGTTCGAGTCGTTATTCTCTCGGGCTTCCATCGGAACTTGCCGTCAGGAGTGAGTTGGGCCTGTGGAACATCATGTGTAATTTTCAGTGGTTTCCCCTCTGGGTCGCTGGCGTTGACTATAAACGATATTTCATCACCCACATGAATAGTCGTGTTGTCTTCTGTTGGAGTGTTGAATAATGGTGGGAGGTTATCTGAAATGAAAGTGAATACTAACTTCAATAAAGACTTTAGTCTAATAGAAACTTTAGTCTAATAAAAACAGTGACGCACTGCACTCACCTGAGCGCGACGTCCATTTGTGAGCGTCATCTACAGAAAAGCACTTATAACATGGATTCTCTGGAGAAAGAGCACCGTTCACAAAACAACGAGAATCGATAGAACACGTCCCAGGCTAGAGAAAAAGAATACATCGTTATATACCTGATTTCGTTACTTAAACAAAACAAAACTGGATAGCTGTATCAGTTCTGAACTGTTCTCCTTAGTAAAATAAGGGCCAGCTATATTGCTCCAGTGTTACTACAGGAGGGAACTCAACTATGCTAATTTTATGCATTGCTGCTGGATAGGATTTCCTGTTCCAGGTGATCTCGGAACTCGGAAAAGGCCTAGCACTAGTTGTAAAATAGAAATCCATTTCTGGTTTAAAATTACTCAATATCTCATTAACGGTATTAGATTTCTATCTCAAATTTGTCCCAGATATTCATTTCCCTGTGCAAGACACAGACACAAAGTTTCAAACAGTTTCACAAAAGAATCGGGGCATGACAAGTGATTAAAGGTACGAAACTGGATTTCTATTCAGTTGCTAGTCCCAGTCCTTTTGCTCACCGTCAGATCACCTGGTCTATATGAAATCTAAAACGACATTTTAGTCAAGATACTATGACCTGCGTCCGCTCAATCAGTTCTAAACCACTGTCGTATACTACTTTCGGTTAAGTATAGGTCAGTGTTCGTAAACGCTCTCCCTTACTCTAACTCTAAACCAATAAGGATTATCCGGATTGGTTCAGGCTTACAACTGCACATTGCAGAAATCATATTTCGACGACCACAGAGGTAAAAATCACACACACTAGTCACTGTACTACCTTGGAAGATCAAAGCATCGGTCAAGTGAGCCCAAAGTAGAGTCAATGCAATTTCATATTATCAAAATAAGATCTTACTTTCGTCGTACATCTTCCAACGGTTGTACAGTTCTTGCACAAGCTGTCGTAGCCAAGTCTGGAAACAGGATTACTCCACAGGTAGCCATTATTGGACACTCGCATGTGAAATGCCTCTTCAGATTTGATAAATTTCGAGCGTCGATTCTCTGGGATTCTGCAGATCACTCCACGCAAACTGTAATATGTAGCTTTAGCTGTGAACGTTTCGTGATCGTTCTCTTCCAACCTTTCGCCAATTTTCTGAAAATCAATAAAGTGTCAGAGGTATGAGCAAGTAGATCTAGCTGACAACCAACCAACCAACCAACCAATCTACCTACATGCCTACCCACCCTGCCTACCAACCCACTTACCCACCCATCTACTTATCTACCTATCTACCACCTATCCACCTACCAACCCACTTACCTACCCACCTACCTACCCATCCACCTACCCATCCACCTACCTACCTACCTACCAAACAACCCACCTATCAGTACCCACGAACATACCTACCAACCTACCCAAAACCAACCAACCTACCTACCTACCTACCTACCCCACCTACTTACCAACGCATCCACCTGCCTATCCACCTACCTACTTGTTTTCTTGCCTGTCTACCTCCCTAATATTTCCGACTCTCTGCCACAATTCAATATTTCATCTATGCTTTTACTCTTTCCTTTCTATATTTCTTTAAAGTGAGGCAAGGTGAAGTGAGACAATGTACCTGCAAAGGCGTAAATGAGCACGATAGTGATCCAAAATTCAAGAATGCTGAGCCTGAGATAAATATTTCGTTGCATATCTCTTTACGAGCATCGCACAACGGATCGTCTAATGGAAACACTGTCGGTGGTGTGTTCAAACGGACAGAACAGTCAGTCGAACCATACCCTAAACGAGTGAAGGTTTGCTGCTATGATCTTAGAATTGAATAAAGACAACGAGCTACTTGTAATATTATTCTAGTAGATTGATTCTGTAAACCCTAAGCACACATTTATGCTAACACTATACCTTCGTTGCATTTACAGTGCCCTTGAAAACAATGGCCCTTGAGCCCACAACGATTTTCACACAGCTCATTCTTCCATCGGCTGAGAAAGGTTGAATTGTCTTTCATATTCTCTACTTTCTGCTTACAAAGTGTGGTCATTGTTTCACCACTAGATTTCAATAAAGCCATATCAAGACCTTCCTTATAAAAGAAAGAAAAAAAACACAGCGCATTGATGAAATCCTAGCCAGTTTGATGTGAAAATGAATGAAAATAAAATTCAGTGCTTGGGTCCAGCAAAAGTCATTCCTTCTTGGCTCAGGGATTCTAACCTAGCTGCTTCTAAACTGTTCTCCCGAGAGGTTAAGTAAGGGTCATTTCTTATTGCCCGAAGAAAATTTTCAAACTTAGAAAACTGCTCAGGGGCCGCGGTCGAAGTTCTGCTTGTATTTTGCAGGTTCTTGTATCTCTCGTAATCCGCAATTATCTTACTAATCTTCAAGGACTTTCTAGATCTGGATTTATTTTTTCACACTCAAGGACTTTCCAGGATTTTCAAAACCCGTGGACATCCTGAAGATGTTTCGAGGAAGAATAGCAACCAAGTTTAGTAGCCAAATGAAGAAGCTTTACCTGGGTTTCCTCCACACAGATCTGCCAAATTTTCTGCCAAAGTTCTTCACCAACGATGTTTTTACAAACTCGTAAAGAATCCGATGCGTTTAAAATCTTATGACAAATCTCCTCTCTTCTTTTGTAACTCAATGATTGACTTGGTCTGTCCGCTTGTAGAGTTTCGTCGTGTTCTAAATGTGGTTTCCTAGTTAATCCTAAGCCCTTTAGTAATATTTGTTGTTTATCAATGATTCTTTCTGTGATATCTGCTAGTTTAGTAACGAGTCGGTAAGTGGTTGAAGGTGGACAAGATCGTCTTGTTTCGTTCAAAGATTTCAAGCCAGAACATGAGCAGAAGTCTTGGGTTTTTACTGCGAGTGGTTTGGCCGGAGAGGTAGAGTGGTTGAACAAACTAAAAAAAAAGAGTACAAATAGAAAGTGGAGGGAGAGACTGCATACCTCTTGGGGAGTGTATACCTCTGCCAGCGAATTAAGTCAAGTATCATATACAATTCTTAGATTATACCGGGTGTCTCCCAAAAAACTGGAAACTGTTTGTTTGATTGCATGTAACGTAAAAGCTATAAAAGCCATCGCAATGAAATAAAGATCATTGCATTCAGAAAGGACTAACTTAGATTTTGATATACAGCACTTGAATTTACATACAATATTGACCTGCGCTATTGATGTTGAACGTTGAACTACTGTTTTTGAAAATGCCAGAAATTAGCATAAAACAACCTTATAATTACCGATGTAGTTATACTTGTTAAATAATATTTTTGTTTTGGTTGTATCTCGCTCAATATTGCATATAAATTCAAGTGTTATATATCAAAATCTAAGTTAGTTCTTTCTGAATGCAATGGTCGTTATTTTATTGCAATAGCTTGTATAACTTTTACGTGACATGCAATCAAAGAGTGTCCAGTTTTTGGGGGGAAACCCGGTACACAATTTTTAGACCTGAATAGCCGGGCCGCAGGATCTTATCTCTGTCGATGATAAAATGTCACTAATAATAAAAGTTTCGAGATACCTTCTCATTGTCTCTTGAGTTGCTGCAACAGCCCCGCGGCACAATCCTTCACCAAGATCAGTTACAGAAAGATAAATACTGATACCCCAATAGAATTCGTGAATGTTGATGTGTGCACCCGATGGAAGCCGGATCTGAAGTGAACAGATGAAGAACACGCAAATAACTTTAAACACTGGATCTCTGTGTTCCAGTCCTGAACCGTTCTCCCTAGAGGGTCTACTAATGGCTATCTCATATGATTCTGGTATTACTACAGGAGGGATCGTGAACAGAACTAACTTCATTAACTAGATCCTTCCCTCTAGGGATCCCATAAGAACCATCTCTTATTTTTTCTGTTTTTCTTCAGTAGGAAACCTAATTCCTAAACTAATTTTATTTATACTAGATAACTCTAGCAACTCTCAATTATTAAACTGAGGCCAAGTAAGAGACATACCTTATTGGTACAGTGTTAGTACATGAGAAAACTGGAGCACTCGGAGGAAATATGCAGTGTTTGGTAGAAACTGGAAGTACCCTTCTCAATGTGACTGAAGTGAAATATAATCAGAAACTGCATATTGCCGTAACTCAATCCCAATCAGATCAAGTATATGCATTAACCACTGTGTGCCACTGATTCGCCGTGGATATTTATAAAAAAAACTAAAAAACACTATTGAAACAGAAAATATAACTTGCATGAGACTCACTGTGAATGATCGTCCATTGTTTGATTCCAGTATCTTGGTGTTTTTATGTAGAGGTAGCTGAGATCGGATGATGAAACGTAAACTTGATTGTTTGTACTGACCATGGCACATATCTGCCACGATGACGTCATTTCCTTCTCGTACTGCGACTGCGCAAGGACAAGTAGATATACCATTGCAATGCCATTTCTTTATTTGTACCTGTACGAGTAAACGCAATTCAATAGTAAGGTCTAGTATAGGTTGTATTCTACACATCCGCAGCAGACTTGTAGCAATGCTGTTCCAACAACTTGTCAACAGGATGTGTTCGCACTGCTTGTTCCCAGCTTGTGGACAAGTTGTCAACGGCTTGTTGACAACTTGCCACAAGGTTGTTGAGCTCAACAGACTTGTTACAAGTTAACTTGTTATCGTCCTGCAATTCAACAATTTGTCAACAAGTTGTGAGTGACAATCTTGTAGCAACTTGATAAAATAACAGCGTCGTTACAACTTGTTGACAAGCTTGCTACAAACCTGTTGCGAACACATCTTGTTGACAAGTTGTGAGATTCGTACGCGTGTACCTGAAAAAGATATCTGAACCATGGGGGTCTAGTATTAGTATTCTACAATAAGTTTCTGTCGCTTATGTCTGAAGTACTTGGAAAAGATATCTCAAACATGGGAACCCAGTGTAGAGAGTATTATATTTACTATGGCTTTGTGTCAAAACTACCTAAAATAAAAGACACTTCAGCATTTTGAGCGAAGGCTCTTGATTTCGTGGTAACTGCCACCTAACGTCCGGACCCTTTTGTGCCAAAACTTTCACTGGAAAAAATTTTGAAAATCCATAGAAGGTCATAGAATGGACCTTTATTGGAATTTTGATTTTCCATAATAACTGTATATTTCCATAGTATGGATATAGTATCGAAATAGTATGGATATACTATGGATTTAGTGGTGCAATTGTAAATTTCATAGTATGGATTTCACTTTTTTCCCAGTGTTTTCAGGTACATGTAGTTTAGATTTCAGCCAAGGCAACCAAAATAAAAATCTCACCTCTGTCGATGATAAACTACTGCGATAGAACAGAAATGTTCCTTCTCCAAGATGTTTGTAGAAACTGCAAGAGTCGAAATTACTAGTCATTTAATATGGCGCTAAAAAAGACTGTAGAAATTGAAACTACAAGAATCGAAATTACATAGTTAAGCATGGGGCTAAAACGACTGTAGGAATTGGAACTTCGTATACCTTCCTCCAAAAGTCCTTATGTTCGATGCTGATACGGAATAACAGGAATAACGTGGCGTGGATTTCAAAGTGACCTGAGGAAAATATATCTTAATTTGTCATTAATTTAACACGGATGCAAATACACATCTTTGCTAACGCCTGTATTCTAAAAGCTCACTCACACTCAATGAGTGGAGGTTCAATCTGAGTTTCCCTTGAGTGTCAATGCGGTTTTTGAATAGTTGGAGGGTGAGTAGTCACATAGTAAGGTATGACACTAGCCCTCCAGCTATTCAAAAACAGCCATGACACTCGAGAGAAGCTCAGATTGAACTTCCACTCATTGAGTATGAGTGAGCTTTTAGAATACGGGCGTAAGTCTTACATTCCTAGTTACAGTCTCATCCTAATCCTTGTCCTCATATATCCTAACAATGACCCGTCCCCCTATCCTAATCCTAACCAAGCCCAATGTCGTCCAGCATTGTTGCTACAACGTTGAACGATGTCGGGCAATGTTGCGTGAACTTGTTCCATGATCACGGGTATAATCGTCAGATGCTAATATTCATGCGCGCACAATCGTCAACATTGTAAAATTCTTTCGGGACACTATCCAGATTTAGGACATCCAGAATTACGCATCTCAAATAAATATCATAGTGACTACAGATCATAATATATTATTAGCACTGATGAAGATTCGGGCCTACACGCGTAAACATTTCACAACTTCTCAGCTTGTCAACAAGTTGTAACAATGTCGTTATTTTATCAAGTTGCTACAAGGTTGTCACTCACAACTTGTTGACAAATTGTTGAATTGCAGGACGGTAACAAGTTGTTGGAACAACTTGTAACAAGTCTGTTGAGCTCAACAACCTTGTAGCAAGTTGTCAACAAGCCGTTGACAACTTGTGAACAAGCTGGGAACAAGCAGTGCGAACACATCCTGTTGACAAGTTGTTGGAACAGCACTGCTACAAGTCTGCTGCAGGTTTGTTAAAACTGACTTGTGTATTTTTACGTGTATTTCTACGAGTATGTTTTCACCATGACGTGGTGTATCCACAAGCCAAGAGATATATTTATTTATCCTCAAGCAAACTTTCAAGAAACATATAAACATTAGCTTACTTCGATCACCGAGAAATTATGATCCTTCCACACGGAGTCGGTAGAGACAACTGGACCAAGTTCGATTTTTAACTTAAGGTCAGAAGTTTCAAAGTTTTTCCCAGCTTGAATTTGGATTGTGTTTCGACCACAAACGATCTTGTCTCGACTGCAACGTTCGGGAGTGAATACCAGAGAACATTTTGATAACGTGAAGTGAGATCCAGGAGAAATCATCTGTCCAGCTGTACCATCTGTAACGCAACATTGAAGATATCATGATAGCTGGATATATCTTAAGTTACCAAGATTCTTGTGGCATCTCACTCGAATAAATAATATTTGATGGGTATTGTAGATGGAAATTGTCAAGTATACATTTTCGCTTCTGTTCCTGGTTAGGGCTAATAAATGTATATAACTTTTCACTCGACAATTCCCTATTATATATACATGAACTTGTGGTTAGAGCTCGACAACTGGCCTCTGTAGCTCAGTTGGTTAGAGCGCTGCCGCTAACCGGATTTTGAACAATCTGCCCGTATACTCCTGTCCCTAAAGCAGTGGAACAATAAAGATTGGACCCTACTGGACTTCTAGGAGGAACTACTTAGAACTGATAGAAACCGTTGTAGATATGTACTCGTTAGAAAATTGTTCCGAAATTCGATATTCTGAGCGAAGGCTATTTCTCAGGCTGATGAGTATCAGCAACAACGTTCTCCTACATCTACACCGTGGCCAAAGCTGAACCTCCAAGTTGAAATACTTACCTGTAAGAGAGGTAGTCAGAGGTATCGTTAGGGAACATCTCTCGTCTCTTGTGCGACATAAAACTGGCAACGTTATGGCAAATGAAACACTGATTACGTTGGGATATGTAAGAACCAATGCAGACGAAGGCTGAACCTGAAATAAAAATAATGTTGGTCCTTCCCTTATACCATAACAAGAATGTTCTGTGTATGGGTACTATGAGGTTATTTAGAGAGTACCTCTATTCCAAGGTGATAATCTTGACTCGCCAACGCTGGACTCCTGACATTCCTTGTTGCTTGGAAAAACGATCGAACTTCGCAAATGACCTATACAGAAATCATATACAATGTTCAAGAAGGGCTCGTGATGGCACGGTGCTTAGTTAGTTAGTTTAGCAGAAAGTTAGCTTATTTTACCGTATCTCCAAATCCAACAGGACATCTCTCTGGTATAAGTCGCACATCAGAATATTTGCGCGTGGTTTCAGTTCTATGAACTACACTCTTCCGCACTTTCCCATCTTTTTCTTTCTTTATTTTGTACAGATGAAACAAATATCTGACAGTGACATCTCTCTTTGCACCGTACAGTATACAACGAAGATAAACATAGGGCTGCTTGGGCTTGCCTTGGTAAGCGTGGAATGGATAGAACTGCAGGACTTTCGGTAATTTTGGATATGCATCTAAAACAGTTGATTCAAAGATCATATTTTAGAATAATGTTAACTAGCAGTGGCTTGAACTGCATGAAAATGAGTATAGGAAGAAAAAAACTTTGTATATTTGAGTTTCAGGCATATCTCCTGGTTCCTATCATAACGAAGGGCCAACACTCAAAATGTTGAAAATGTCAAAGAACGTTTTAAAAAGCCTTGTTCAGGTATATCAGACACAAACCACGGTAGCTTATTGTAGAACACCACCTATACTGGACCTCCACGTTTGAGATATATTTTTCAGGTAGTTCCGGCACAAACCACGATACCTTATTGTAAAATACTACCTACACTGGACCCCTACACGTTGGAGATGTTTTTCATGTAATTCAGACACAAAGCACAGCAACTTATTGAATATTGTACTACCCACACTGTACTTCCACGTTCGAGATATCTTTATATCCAGGTAGTTCAGACACAACCCATGACAGGACGTAGCATCTGTATAGCGAGAAACCTTATATTTACCTTTGCAATTTGGTTTATAACCGGTTTGGCCCGGCCCACAAACACCATTTGCCACTAAAATGAAAAAATAAATACCATAGTAAAACAGTGACTGTTTAGATGGCATGGAGAACAGTGGGATTCTTCCTGACAACACTGAATGGCATTATAGTCACTGGAAAACACGGAAGTAAAAGGGGGGGGGGTGTGTGAAAAATCATGGCGAAGGCAACGTAAGCTATTTCTTACTGTCAACAGTAAAACTCAGACGTTGGGTTCAAACTGCGCTCCTTGACCTATAGCATTTTTTAAATTGCGTTGTAATTGAACTGGAACGCGTTTTTAAACGAGATTTAAGATTTATTCAGAAACTGCACTATTTACAAAACAAGGAAAATGTATGGGCCACCGTGGCCGGGCATATTTTTCAAGCTCGCCCGGTGTGGATATGCACTCAGAGCAACATCACAAACATATTATTCACCTGAGTACACAACACCAGCACAGAAAAAAAAGGAAAATGTATATAAAATTTTACAAATAATTAAGTTTCGAATTAATAATTTCAACTTAATTTAGTGGAGTGAAAGTGCGTAGTGATCAAAGGAGCATAAACTTTCGAGTTGATCACTACCTACGTTCGATCATATAGATTACTTTATATGGTTGAGCTTATGCAATTGGAAGGCAAACATAGCGTCTGTATTGAACACTGAAGTGTTCTTAAGATCTTAATACCCTAGGCCATGTTTTTGGTTCGGGTGACGGCTTTTCACGAGTCGAGGCTGGGCGTGGAGCATCTTGTTTGCAGGTTCACTTACCATCAGCACAATACGCTGTTGGACAAAAATCAGTTCTTCTCAATCGATACACTTTAAAGTCACCACAATGTCGAACATAAACTGACAACTTCCAGAAACAGCAAATACGACGACTTGCGATGGTCCACGAAGCACAAGCCTTGATTTCCACTTGCTTTCCAAGTTCAATACCATCAGCTTTTGGGAGCCATACAGAGGACCAGGTACCACAGGCATTCGAGGGTGGACACACTGTTGGAAGTTGCGCTGGTTGACCATCCAGTTTAAATCTATACCATGCACGTGGTAATTCTGTGTCACATGGGACACTGAGGCTGTCACGTGACTTTCTCAAGTCTCGGGAAGGCTCGTCTAATGTCCGATATACACTCGGCCGGCATTGAGGATAGTCTAAAAAAGGAATGGAATCTTTGACGTGAGAAGATTGTTTCTTCGTCCTGATTCCCAAAGATTGATAAACTAGGAAACAATGTTTGCACAAAAATCACACTTTGGAAACGAAATATGTTTCAGCATTTGTTGGGAAACATATTTGCTTCGAAATTCTGGTGGTTGTTTTTATACCATGCACGATTTAAGGTGGCTTTATTATGGCACTCAGTTGTAACACAGTTACAAGTGTTACACAGTGTTAAACAATGTTACATATTCTTACATAGTGTTACACAGTGTTACAAAGTGTTACACATTGTTACATAGTGTCACACAGTGCTACAGAGTGTTAACAGTGTTACATAGTGTACATGGTTTTTAAGGCGCATTTCAGCTCTTTTAAATCAGTTTTAATTGAAAAAACTAACCAGAAAAATCAATTAAGCATAATTCAAGGTCACCAAACTTCGAATGTTTTTAACATTTTAAAACATTTTTATTGTTAAAAACATCGAGTTTACTGATTTTGAATTATGCTTAATTGATTTTCCCAGTTAGTTTTTTCAATTAAAAGGGCTGAAATGCGCCTTAAAAACCATCGTTCAAAAAGCTGAACTGTGCCTTTAAGCTAACCCAGCTTTGAACAACTGGCCCCTGATTTCTGAAGAAATATTTCCAAATTTATATACAAGCTGTTGGAAAGTTTACTTTGAATATTAGGTTAACCTAGGGTTACGATGATCGGCTTTCAAACAACAGGCCCCAAGTGTTTAATTTTTTGCTGATGTTACTGCGAGGCTCAAGGAATTTTTTAGTTTGTCCGCTGTGGAGAACCAGTAAAAAATATTGCTTTCAGTGCAAACGGGGAACATTGGAATTTGTAAATGTATAGGGAACAATATTTCCAGTTTTCCCAATTTTAAAGTTGCGCAAAAACTACAGTAGTGTAATAAGATTTCTTATTCGAAAAAGACGTCACGCTGGTAATCAGTCTAAACAACGACAAACTTGGTGATGACTGAAAAAAATGTGCAACTTAATTATCGTTAATTAAGCAATTAATTAGCAATTAACTCATTATTCCATGAATGAAGCAAAGATAAATGAAATCACCGAGGGCATTAATGATTTAATGGTGAACAAAATTTAAAGCTGAAGTTTGAAGATTTCTTATTGGTATGCAAAACTTTATTGATTACTGTTACTGGAAGATCTGTATCGCTATGCATGACATAAGTCTGTCCACTCTGTCATAAGTCTCATCAATAACTACTTAAGATTCTGCACGAATTTCGCAGGTTTAGAATCATCCGTCAACGTGTAGTTTATTTTTAGCATTCATTTTCCTGAAAGAAAAACCGAGCACATTCCAATCTCGTAACGAAATTGAGCGCATTCCAACTTGCATCGAATTTTATGACTTTGTATAATTTTTTGAAATTTTAAATTTAAAACCTATGGCCATGCCCTAAATGCGGTTTTCGCTTCCGTTTAAAGGAAATTAAGCAAAAGCAGGTCAAAGTGATATAGATTAAGGGTTAAACCACATTAAACATATCTCGTTTACACACAATAGTATTCATTCATTCACATGAATTGAGTAGATGATACATTCAATCGATTAAGACCGCATTCAGCGATACAATGATGCAGTAATTTTTTACATGCCCTTGGGCTACTGTATATTCGATTGAATTGAGAAACTTTGAATATCACATTTCTAGATCTGGTATTACTGCGGCAGGAAACCTAAACTTAACAAACTTTAATACTTATACTGGATAGCGAGAATAGCTTTATCAATGGACATTTGCATTATAGACTAAATTTTGATCTAGACAAAAATTTCATCACACTTGAAAGAGCATCACAAAATTAGTAATATTCCAAAGTTTCGTTGCGAAATGTTGTAAAATGCGGATAATATAACCTTGCGAAATTTGCAATTCTCAGTCATTTTGTATTACAAACGGGAAATTGATGCCCCAACACGCGATTGGGCTGTCAATTTCCCGTGCGTAATACAAAATGACTGAAAAACGGCAAACTTCGCAAAGCTATATTATCCGCATTTTACAACACATCGCAACGAAACTTCGGAATATTACTAATTTTGTGATGCTCTTTCATGCTATGATGAAATTTTTGTCTAGATCAAAATTTAGTCTATAATGCAAATGTCCATTTCTATAAACTGTTTTCTTAGATGTCCAGTAAGGCATTTATAATACGTCTAGCGTTGCAACAGAACGAAACCTACACTGAACTATTTCTATATCTATTCTGGATGGGTCTACCATTTCTAAAGCCTCTAAACAGTTCTTTCTAAAGATTCGAAAAGGATCATCGATTATTGGTTCTGGCTGTTCAGTGTTAATAGGCCTACTGGAGGAACTAGCTTTATTTACGCTGACTATAGTTCTATCTGCTCGAAAGTCTGGTGTTACTACAGGCCGAAACCGGAGTACACAGAGTACCGTATCAAATAGGTTTTTTATGGCGCAATTTTATCGTGTAAATGCATCTCAATACAATCAACAACTTTGCAAAAGGTCTAAGGTCATTTCAACGCAAATACAAACATAATTTATAATTACATACCCTGTATTCGAAATTGTTGTCGAATCCATTTCCTTCGGTAATCTACACGAAGGAAACTTCCTATGAAATTGCTGTGTGGTTGACAAGCAGATCTCACGTGCAGCACCCCTGCTAATGAGACTAGACCATTCTCGTCTATCGTAACTAATGAGCTTCCGAGACTCGTGCTTGAGCAATATTGAAGGATACTTGAACTACCAGCTAAATGTTTACTCAACGAAACACAAATATGACGAGTGCTATTGCCAACGCAGGGTTCAATATCAACAGACAACGCGAAGATATTAACATCATTTGCGTCAAACGCGCGCCTTGAATCCCAGCTCAGAACGATGCCAGTTATATTATCCATATTAGCATTTTTTGCGCGCATTGCTACCACGTTTTCGGTCAAAGACGGAGCAGTGTGCGACAGGTATAGCATTGTGAAGCCATGTGTTGAACTACCTCGCGTGTAGTCGATGACATAAAGCTGTCTTATACCTTGCACTTTCCCGGCTGAATTGAAATCCTGAACTTGAACCAATAATTCCGATGGGATTGATTTGTTTAGGAAGCAATTCGACGCAGTGATCATCCATCTGTTGTGTACAATCGCGCCAGTACAATTCAGCGACGGAATATATGCTAACCAGGGCCAGGTTTCATGAGTAGATGCGTGAATCTGTAAGAATGGACATAAAGATAATAATAAAAATACGATAAGTTGGATAAATGTCGAGATATTTTTGTAGTATGACCAGTTGAGTTTGTGCTTGAACGCCATCCGTCTCATGATTGCACTATGGTTGTAAATACATCCGGTATATAAGTGTAAAGTTCTGTCGAGGGTCGAGGTCGACGCGAGGGTAATATAATATGTCGAGGGGGGAAATACTATAACACACAATCATAAAAAAGACCACAACAACTTGTATTTGAAGATTGAAAGTTCACGGCCATCAATTTTCTCTCGTAACCATATGGTTTGAGTTAGTAAGGAATTACATTGACGACCCCAAGTCACCCAAAACATCGACACTCATTCATCAGGGGTGATAGAAAGTCGTATTCTGGCTCCTTATATAACATTACTTCCCAACAAGGAAACGATAATCTTCTGGCGGATAGCTACTGTCATCTCTGTTCAAAACATGATAATTTGTATATTCGTACCATGCTTTATTAACATTCTCGACCCTCGAGGCCACGACCCAAAACCCACGACCCTCTACCATAAGTCAACTTACAAGCGCCAGATGCGAGATGAAATAATATATTAACATAACAGCGTGCAGCTGTGAGCAAGCATGGAATATTGCCTCGAGACAATGGTCAGGTTGATATATGGGTTTATATACGTTTCAGAACGTCCTTAAAATAGTACAAGCTGTACGCACACATGTGCTAAATCCCATTGTTTAGATAAGATAATATTTCACTTCAAATGAGTGCGTTTGATTTTATTATGATTTCCGCTAATAAGATTTGGAGAAAACAATGTTTTTATAGATGGAAACATTCTTATCGTCACCATAGCATGCTCATTGGATTTGACTGTGAATCTATGAGTACAAATGTACCACTGCATGTACAAGATTAATCTTTGCGCATAGGTCACAATGTCACATCATACTGCAGTCACTATTGCTTGCTGGGGTAAGTTGGGTAACAACGACAAAATATGACGTGACTGATGCGCAATCTTGTGCTGAGTGCGGACAGTCTAGGTCTCTCTATTTGCATCACGTAAACGCGCAAGCTGAACTGGCTGAGCATGCACAGAGGAAAGACTGTGCAAATAGCAAAGGGTCCAAAAGGGTTCGAATTCCTGTCAGAGAACCTTTGGTTGCATTTTTTGCAGCTGCTCCTGGTTAAAAAATGTGTAAAATTTACACCATCGACATACTGTACGTTTTGAAAATTCTCGGGTGTTTGGTCCGAGATGTTTTATGATATTAATATGGGGAAAAAAGTGAGAAATTTTTAAATGCATTACCCAACACAAAAATAAAGTGATCGAATAACACGTACGCCAAGTCTGTTCCTTTATAAGGAAATTTCTGCTCAAGAAAATGAAGTACCTGGTGACAGTGTTGTTCACTTGTAGCAAATTGGCTGAGAGCCCGAGAGCATAGCCCTTAGAGGAACTGGGATATTTCTGACTTTTCTAAGACGCAAAGGTTGATGGGAATACTATAAATAGTTTGTTCCATTCCCATCATTTAACGCGGGATGAGCAGTTGGGACAAAGTCAGAGGAAACATTGATGCGGAAACCGTATATTGTTTTTTTTGCTGCTGCGCGTTGACGTATACCAGGGATGCGGTAATATTTATTAGTGGAATCGAAAATTTAATTTAAAAGTTATTTTGACACTAAGATTACTAGAATTGGTTTTATGATTTTTATTATTTAGGACACAATTTACAATTATATTTGGTTATCTTTTGAATCATATTTTACATAAATCGTTTACAATACTTAGTTTAAAAACGTACGGATTTAAAAATTTACAGAAAGTGAAAGTATTTATACAGTGATTTAATTATCTGCATTATTCCCAATGCTTTAATTCTAACAATACCATTATGGTTAAACTTATTACAAATCATAAATATCATTTAGTTCATTCAATATTTATAATAGACATTTTATATCTTGGATCATAACTTAATGTAATTAATTAATTATTTATTTATCGACCACACACGTAAAGTCTCACAACTTGTCAACAAGATGTGCTCGCCACAGGCTTGTAGCAAGCTTGTCAACAAGTTGTAACAATGCTGTTATTTTATCAAGTTGCTACAAGGTTGTCACTCGCAACATGTTGACAAATTGTTGAATTGCAGGACGATAACAAATTGGTGGAATAACTTGTAACAAATCTGTTGAGCTCAACAACCTTGTTTTGCAAGTTGTCAACAAGCCGTTGACAACTTGTCAACAAGCTGAGAACAAGCAGTGCGAACACATCATGTTGACAAGTTGTTGGAACTGCATTGCTACAAGTCTGCTGCATGTTTGTTACAACTTGTGCGTTTGTTACAGACTGAATTACGCGTACACAAGCGCATACAGTCTGTGGACAAGTTAATTATCTACATACCCAGTCAAATTCACGGTTCACAATCTGTTTCAGGTTATGTAATCTGACCCCCGTCATTATCTTTCTGTCTTTTACGTCTTTGTAATCTTGAAAATGCTACTATCTCACTCATGTGTTTCCTCTGGAGTTCGGAAATCTTCTTGTTAATTGATTCGCTGAGCAATGCTGCTTGATTTCGTAAATCACTGCAACTTATGATCGTGTCTGTAAGAAAACCCCAAGAGGGGAGGGATATTTTAAAGTTCACATTTGGTTGAAGGGATTGAATTGGGGATAATAACTTCCACAAGTTCTCCCTAGAGATCCAGTAAGGGGAGTCTCTTAGAATTGGTGCAGTGTTGCTACAGGAGGAAACGTAAACTGAACTAATTTTACTTAGACTGGGTAGATCTCAGAAGGTAGATCTACTTACCGTTCTTCCTAGAGGTCCAGTAAGGATCATCTCTTATTGATCCAGTGTTTCTACAGGAGGAAGCTTAAACTAAACTATTAACTTTATTTATACTGGATAGCTCCATCAGTTCTAAAATGTTCTTTCTAGAGGTCCAGTAAGGGACATCTGTTATTCACTTCTGCAGTGTTACTATACAGAAGGAAACCTAAACTAAACTAAAATAACTTCACGTATACTGGGTATAGCTCCGGCAATTCTCTTATTGATTCAGTGTTACAACAGGAGAAAAGTAACCTAAACTAACTTTATTAATACAAGATAGCTCTGGCTATTCTCCATAAAGGTTCAGTAAACGTTCCTGTCTTATTTATCTCGGACTACAACAAGAGGAAACTGGACCATTTTAAGAAAAATCTGTAGTGTTGGGTAGTGTCAGGATGGAAGCACACTTCTCACAAACAACTGAGGCGAAATATAATCCGACAAATAAAAAGAGGTACGTTATTACTTAAAAATAGAAGGGATAGCAAGTATGTAAAGAGAATTAAAAGTGTTACCTTGCTCACAATTTACTTTCGTTGATCTTCTCTTTCTTCGGATAATTTCATATATGCAGCCACAAAGAAATAAAACAATCAACGCTACAGCGCATGAGTAAAGTGAGATTTGATATAAAGCTGATTGAGGATTGTATGCCTGTCCCACCAGCTCTGCAGTAGATATCTCAGGTAACTAGAATAAATATAACTTACTAGTTAACCAGCCAAACTAAGTTCTTAACAAATGAACTGACTTAACTACAATTAACTGTTACCAAATCTCATTAACATTAGTAATTATAGTAATTAAAGTTATAGTAACTATCAGGGCCTCTCAGAGAAATTCGGCGGCCCGGGGAAAATTTTTAATTCGGGGCCCCTTTAGCTGGGGCCCCTGGGCAACTAATTAGCAAACTAACTGAGTAACTGAATAATTAACTAACTAACCAACCAACTAAATAACTAACCAATTAACTATAAAGTTACTTGACTAATTAACTTGCTTAACTCATTAACTTATCAAAAATATAATAATTTACCAATTAACTCCAATTAACTTTCATTAATAAACTATAGTCAATTTAGGGCGCTTTCCTTTAACACGGCCAAACCGGTCAGAATGAAACACAAAACATTTGGGCTTCAGACCTACTGACTGGAAAATTTTGATAACATTAGAATGAGGTCCATTTTCGCTAGATATTTGAGAAACATAGACCAGATCTTTCCATTGATACAGAGAAAAGAATTCGGGTCTGACCGATCAGACCAGAAAGCGCCCTTAGTTGCTTACTGATCAATAAATCTCCTTGCGATCAAGCAGAAATTTGGCTAAAACAAAGGAACTATAGCCAACATCTATATATACTTACCACAACAGGATTGGAGTTATTTGAAATAAAATTGGTTCTTGCCGCGGCATTCACTTTCCAGAACTGATTAAAACATTTCCTGAGCTTCTTAGCATCGGTTCCCATAACGACGCCATAACTTGAGGTGAGATCAATCACTTTCGTGATGAGGAATTGAGAAAATAATTCTTGCCTTGCATCAGCTACATAAGCATCAACTAGGATTCCGTCCACTGCTCCACTGAGTAAGACCTTTTGGAGTTCGTCCAGAGTGTGGTATGTTATGTTATCTAGGAAAGAATCAGATGATGAACACCTTGCATGATGAACACCTTTTTTCTTGATTTTATTTTACCTACAATCGGTGACATTAAAATGTGGGACACTTGGAGTGGAAAGTTATTTTCATGTTGGTTCCAGCTATGGAGGAAATTTTGATCTAGACAAGAAGGAAAACCATTACCATAGCTGGTAGAGCATCTTAAAATGAGTAAAATTGCAAAGTTTGGTTGCGAATTGTTGTAAAATGACGAAAATATAGCCCTGTGCATGAAGTTCGCAAATTTTGCTATATTTGCATTACGCGCGTGAAAAATAAGCATTTTTCAGCCGAAAGTGGTTACTTTTACCGCGCGTAATACAAATATATATACAAAATTTGCCAACTTCATAGGGCTTATATTTTCTTCATTTTACAACATTTAGCAACAATCTTTGCAGGTTTACTCATTCTAAGACGCTCTTTCTAGCTGTGGTGTTGGATTTCGTTCTTCTTGCCTTGATCAAAATATAATCTATACCTGGAATCACCCATTGCATAAATAACATCAAAAAACTCCCTCCCCCATTTCAATGTTGCTGTGTGTTCTGGGAGAGTTATCAGCAACGCGATACAACACAAAACTACTTCAAATGAAATGCCAATTTTAGTCTAACAACATTGAACGGGGGGGATTCTGTTACAATCTCAGCCTAACCGGTCCATGTCACTCATTGTAGTTTTAGCATGAAGCGTTTTGATTCTAATAATCCGAGCAAATCCCTCTTTCCTTCATTTTTGCATTCAAACATACCTTTGTTGAATTTGGCATTTCTTCTGAGGCCAAGCCTATGATCTGCCGAGTCTTGCAACGCTGCAACCTGAGAAATTATGCAGAATTGTTTCAAACGTCGGACTTCACATGAGTTGAAGGTTTTGTAGACGGAAATTATCTTGTGGAAATTTTATATACATTTATTATACCTAACCAGGAAGATATGTTAGAATGTTAGGGTTTGTAATCCAAGTGAGATTCACTTGGATTACAAACCCTAACATTCTAACATTAATTCCACCAAGTGAAGTGCAAGAATCCATCATTGAAGTCTAACCAGAAAATAGCTGCAAAAAATACAACTATAGGTCCCTGGTAGGAATCGAACCGGCAGCCCTGCGATTCCGGTGCAGCGCTCTAACCAACTGAGCTACAGAGACCAGTTGTCGAGCTCTAACCACAAGTTCATGTATATATATACTAGGGTACTGCCATGTTAAGGTATGGGTTAATATTAATATTAAGTTGTTTTAAAGTTGTTGGGAAGAGTAAAGTTGTCGGGAATGTCGACGTTGGGTCGAGTTGGGCTAGTCTTTCTCACGAAGGTCTAAATCCGCCATTTTTGGGTACTATTTTATAAACAACGTGAAAAATGTAAGCGATGTGAAAATCCTTTTTCAAATATTTAACTGTAAATCGACTTATAATGATTATACTTACAACTATAGTTATAGAAAGTTTCATTTTCACTGCTTACTATCCCTAGTTGTTCTAAAAAAGTTGCCACCCAAAAATGACGGCGTGTGAAAGGCTGTGTCTGTACCTGTCACGTGTTGTATTGGATATAAAGTGTTGTAAGTAGTACACAGAAAAGAAGTATTCTCACCTTGGAGCCATAAATCATGATATCTTTAGAATCAGGTGGTGTGGTGGATGACGTGAACGCAGATGATATCGTTCCAATCAATAAGGAACAGATACAAAGACCTGTTAATACCCAGATGATAGCAAACACGCGTCCCGCAAAGGTTCGCGCTGTTTTATCACCGTATCTAATTCGAAAGAAAGAACAGTTATTATTCCAATATCAATAGACAATTCCCATAGACTAATTTTAAAACTAGGCAAAGAGATGCAAATAAATCACCACAGCTAGAAAGAGCATACTATTTCAGCCCAAATGTGGTAGCAATTTCCGCACGCAATACAAAAGTATACAAAATTTGCAAACTTTGCAAGGCTATATTTTCCGCATTTTACAACATTTCTCAACCAAACTTTGCGATTTTACTCATTTTAGTATGTGCTCTTTCCGGGAATATACGTTTTTTGGCAAGATAAAAATTAGCCGTCTATAATGGGAATTGTCTATTAAAATATGATAGAGGAAAAACTATTTTGGTAATCTTCACGGTCTGTGGAATAGGTTTTGGAATTTGGAACAGTGAACTTGTTCCTTTTGTCTTTGTGACTTGGTTTCCTTCACTGGATTCGATTTCCAGGTTTTTTCGTCCATCGGGTCTTTTCAGTGCCAGATTACATCAAGTACTAGGCTTACTTACGAAGACAGAGTATAATAAGAAATGTTCGTACCCCACTGTAGTCATCGTAATATACGCCCACCAAAATCCACTCGCAGCACCCGAAAAAAATCTCGGTGGATACTCATCTTCATTGTGACCACATTCCTGGAAATTTTCAAAAGAATACATTGGAAGCAACAGTTAAGCGTGCAAGGTTATTCGCAAGCAAAAATAGTTGATATCACTGGCGTTTAAAAGGTGTTTCCAGCTATAGACTAAATTTTGATCAAGGCAAGTGAAGAAGGAAATCCAACACCACAGCTACAGTAGAAGGAGCGTCTTAGAATGAGTAAATCTTGCGAACTTAATCCACAGGGCTACATTTTCCTCATTTTACAACAATTCGCAACCAAACTTTGCAATTTTACTCATTTTAAGATGCTCTTTCCAGCTATGGTAATGGTTTCGTTCTTCTTGTCCAGATCGAAATTTCTTCTGCAGCTGAAATCATTGCCTCAGTGCCATTTTCACTCAGTCACTCGTTGAAAATCAGGCTCTGGGTTAAACGACTAAAGGGAGAGGTCTGATTGGCTTCTCAGAGATATGTTATTTCCCAGAAGTTGAGCAATTTTTGCTAGGAGAAATTTTTCTATCAAAATATGTCAACACAAATACTTCGTTTCTTCGTAATACTTCTCTGTGGAAATTGTTACGGGTGCTGAAGCATCCCAATTCAAGAGTATGCGCTTTAGAAACGACTGCAAGTTTTCTTGCACTTCCGGTTCCGTGTATCCCAGGGTCTATGAAGGTTGCGCGCGGCCGTGAGGCCCTGGCAACGAGGATGGTGAGAAACTCATTAAACAATAAACTAAACCTACACTCCAAGCATACATTATCTACGGTACTATATTCATCATGATAACCAGACTGCTATATGCTACTCACCAATGCCCACATAATAACACCAGCAATATAAGCAAAGAGCACAGCTATTGCCAGAAATGGCACAATGGACAAAACAGATGCCAATAATACTTTTCCTTGGGTCACACTATAGTCAGGTTTCAGCGTGAAGAAAACTGTCCCTACGATGTCCATGATGGAAGCAAATCCATAGTATTTCGAATATGTGGTCTGTCCGTTGTAGCCATACACAGGAAAACTGTAATCAGTCTCTAGAGTTAGACTTCTTTTAACATCGATATCAGAGTCTCTCACAGGGTTGTTTCCTAGTCCATCACGGAAGTAGTCGACCTCGGAGGTGCCATGTTCAAGGCAGTTTTGACAGCAGGATAAAGTTACCATGTCCAGGAGGTAAGGGAAGAATCCCCGATCGGACTTCTGACCTGAGCTGATATTGGTGTACGGTGGAAAGTTCCAGTAGTTAGTGGTCAACCTCTTGTGGCAGCGACATGTGGCTGGAAAAACAGATTAGGAACAGTTAGAAATTATCAAGAGCTCCATATATATATATATATATATCTGGAGTGAGAATTGGAGTCCAAAAAGTGAGAAGCCAAAGATGGAACTATTGGAAGTCAGATTCAGTCCCTTTCTATTGCTTTTTCTGCGCGGTCTACAAGGGGTGTACCGAAAATTCATACTTTGACTTCGATTTAAAGAAACAATACCATGGTTTCAAGACCTGATAACTCGATTAGCGATACGGTCCGTAAGAAAAAAACCCTGGAATTAGATGGTATTAAAACTATTTACGACCTTCATAGCTATTGGACGTCAATTCCGTCATGTTGACTTCACTTTTCTTAAGCCCAGGGCAAACTAGGAAACATTGTTGCGTAAACATTTGTGATTCTCGATGTTTCCTCAAATGTTTCCATGTTTACCCACCCGTGGAAACATTGTTGCGGAAACAAAATTTGCTTCCCGGGAAGCAAAAATGTTTCCTACCAAATTCAGAAACATTTGATGTTTCCCTATGTTAATTTCTCATTAATGTTTCCTAGTGTTTGCCCACTCTGGGAAACATGGCGAAACATTGGCAGGAAAAATTGTTTCCGCAACAATGTTACCTAGTTTGCCCAGGGCTTTATAGGCCGAATGACTGGAGTTCATGTTCCAGTATATATAGAGCTCACTGGAAACTATTTTGTCTGTGCGCTTTGGTTTCATCCTGGTAGAATACCGGAATAATAACCAATTTTGCCATCTTTTGCAATTTATATGGTACACGTTTATAGTGAACATGTGTTTGAAACAGATTTTGCGGCAAGTTACAGCAACTCTGTTCCACTCTTATAGTATGGACAACTAACTTAAACGGTCTGGGCAAGAGTTAGCTGAACTAACTTAAACGGATGGAAGAGATGCAACTAACTTAAACTGTATAGCTCTAACACTTCTAATTATTCTCCTGTATATGGGTCCGGTGAGGTGATCCCTTATGGCTCCAGTACTACTACAGGAAGAAAACTAAACTAAACTAAACTTACTTTGTATATACTAGATAGCTCTGTCAGTTCTAAACTGTTCTTCCTTGAGGTCCAGTGGGTGTTACTACAGGAAATAACTGAATTAAACTAACTTTATTTATACTGGATAGTTCTACCTGGAGATCCAATAATAGCCATCCCTTATTAGAGCAGTGTTACTACACGAAGAAACGAACGTTTTCGAAGAATACATGCGATTGTTTAGGAGAGTATTATTGTACCTTTACAGCCACATATAAAACCAACTTACCTATATACAAAATACCACTAAATACACCCCGACCACCTCCACTGGCGGCCGCCACTCGGACTTGATAGGTTGTATAAGTCTCGAGCCCAGTCAACCTCACCCCATTAATATCCGAAGGTATAAATTTGGTTATCTCGGGTCCTGGATTCTCTAATATTTCATCTGCCACTGAGAATTCTCTGTACCTTACTTCGTAGCCAGCTAAACGACCTTGAAGCTCTGATGTACTCAAGGAACCCCAGCCCATGAAAATTGTAGTGGGACCTGTGAAGTTTACGCCGTATGAACCTTTTGGTGCAACTCCGGGCACTGAAATAGAAATTTGATATACCTTCACGATCCAATGTTTTAATATTGCAATGTGTACATGAGACTGAGTTGATCTAAAGTTGCAATGTTGTTCTTTATATATTGAAGGTGTACACATAAGAAATATCCAGGGACGCCGGAACTGGGGGGGCAGGAGGGGCAGCCGCCCCTGTTGCCCTTTACCAGGAGGGGCAAGGGGGGCAAAGGTGCCCTTTCAATTTAAAGGATTGCCTTGGCGAAATAGCGAATTGTCAGAAATGTTAGTGCAATTTTTTTACGAATTTGCTTCAGAAAACGCAAGAAATGCAGTCATCGAGCTTCAAGAATAGCACAATCGCCTGGCGAAAAACTCCCTCACACCCCTATCATCCAATAAATAGAAAACATGATTGGGCGAAGTTCAACTCCCGATGTTTTGCAAACATCTCTTAGTATACATATATATCAATTCAAAAGTGCCCTTTCACAAAAATCTGCCCCCCTTTCCTTCACATCGTTCCGGCGTCCCTGGAAATAGCATACATGCTTTGAATATGTACAATAAAGCCTGGTTTACACTATCAAAGTTTCTGTGATCACATGATAGGAATTTGGCATGGGTAAATTCCATGTTTTGAAGGATTTGCAAGAAATGTTTGAGGAAACTGACTCAGTATTTAACAGTTCCCTCAAACACTTCTTATAAATCCTTCAAAACGTAGAATTTACCCATGCAAAATTCCTACTGTGATCACAGAAATTTTGGTAGTGTGAACCAGTCTTAAAAACCCGCATAAAAGAACCACGATTTTTTATGTCAGGCTAAAGTGATTCTTATATAATGGGTACGTAATGAGAAACTAGCTGTGTCGGTTAGATTACACTGATATCGAAGGAACTAGACTCAGTTCCGAAATATCACATACTCGAACCGACCTGACCGCGTAGCTCAGTTGGCAGAGCATTGGGCTAGTATTCCAAAGGTCGTAGGTTCGATTCCCACCGTGGTCAGGCATATTTTTCAAGCCTACCCGGTGTGGAAATACACTCAGAGTAACATCACAAGTATCTTATTCACCTGAGTACACTACACCGTCACAGCAAATATCATGGTCCTTATTTCTGGTCAAAAACAGTTCTTCCTCGTTTAATAATTTGTTTCCTTATTCTCACTTGTCAGCCGAAGTGGTTTTTGTATGTTGGGTGCTTAGATGCCTAAATTTCAGACACATGGTTCTTAACTCACTGGTTCTTTTATGCAGGTTTTGTACTATATTTTAACTAAATTTATTGCAAACCCTTACCGCCTTCCTCCGTTTGAATAAGAAAATACTTCTTGGGTCCCATGCCCTGTGAAGTAAAGCCAGCCACAGTGAAACTGTAGTTGGTGTACGGGTCAAGTTTAAACAGGAATGCCGTGTGGGTATCTGCATCAAAAGTAAGTGTTTTCTCTTCTACTTCTCGTTTACTTCTTCTCTCTAATTTGTTGTACGTTACTCGATACCCCTTGACGAGGCCATGTCTTTCAGGAAGAAATATATCTTTCCAGGAGAGAGCTATTGTTGTTGTTGTGATTTCGGTGGGGGTGATTTCTTCTGGTGGTGATGTTGGAACTGAATATAACAATATTAAAATTGAATACGATATCAAGTAATGTGAGTTCGAGGTTTCGGACGCTCTCTGGTTTAAAATATATATTTATTTCACAAGCTTTCAACTGCCAGACCGTAGTCTTCAATGGGTATTTAAAGTGCCTATATGACATGAAATTTCACCCCAAATGTTTATGGTTGCATTGTAAAGATCACTTAAAATGACTTAATAATTTCTTTATAAGAATTTTGGTAACTTGCTTCCTTTGCAAGATATTCAACTTTGTTTCATATGCAAATATCACCGGTGTGACTTCACATCGCATGATGACATTTTGAAAACGCAATATTTTACCTTGATAAAATATTTTTACAAACAAATAGAGAGGGTTAATTACCAGTTATAAAATTAATACATATACAAGGGCAATTTTTAAGTTTTTTAGATACGTATTCGTCAAGAAAACTATACTTTTCTGAAAACTCATTACGTGATGTGATGTCACACCGGTGATATTTGCATATGAAACAAAGTTGAATATCTTGCAAAGGAAGCAAGTTACCAAAATTCTATAAAAGAAATTATTAAGTCACTTTAAGTGATCTTTACAATGCAACCATAAACATTTGGGGTGAAATTTCGTGTCATAGACACTTTAAGAGTGAGATAACAATGAGACCGTTAAAGACTGCAGTCTGGGAGGAGAATGCTTGTGAAATAAATATATATTTTAAACCAGAGAGCGTCCAAAACTCAACATGAATAATCCTGCTTTCGCCTCAAACATTTTTTAATGTGAGATCATACCAGTAAATTATTAATACATTCATTGCTCAAGATTGTCCGCTATTGCCGGCAGAAATGGAATCGGTAGCCGTTCGAGACACATCAGAATGATATATAGTTTTCATATGTTTCAAATACCAACCGCAGCAGCTTAGGCCAAAAAAAAAATATGTGGGTTTCCGGTTTCCCGACCCTACCTAGCTTTTGGACGTCGAAATCCCGACCCTAAACTTTTTTATTGGATCATGCTTGTAAGTGTTTCCACTTAGAGGAAAAACTTTGTGGAAAATTGAAATTTGAGGCAATATTAGGAAAATTTATCTTTGGATGTGGAAGCACTGACTAAACAAAATGGCGTCCGCTTTTTCGGAAAATTAAAAAAAAAGTTAAAAAAAAAAGTTAAAACCGACCTACTAGGCCTAAGTTTTTATAAGAAGAAACCGGAAACCCACATATATTTTTTTGGCCTTATCATATATGCTACTGCCATATATACTACTGCCCTCTGACAGGAAATCGAACCTGTTGTCCTGCGATTCCGTTGCAGCGCTACAGAGTAGAACTAATAGTAGATAGGGTCTTGTAGATGGAATCTTCCATATAGTAGATAGGTTCCACAGTAGATGGATTTTTACTTCCACAATTAGTTCTATTGAAAAAAATTCTATCGATGTTTGTATGATACAACCTACTCTGGATCTAACGTTTGTTACATACATTTTGTAGGTTGTTCAGATTGAGTTAGGAGTCTACAATATTTTAATTTTGCTGACTTGATACCACGGTAATACAGTAAACGTGCAGAAATATAAATGGTTTGACCAACCATCAGACTAAACCTGACTCCCAAATACAAGTAATTAGCTAATTACCCAAACTAATGAACCTACTATCAACTAACTAATAGCTAACTAGCTCACCTCCTTCCTTGGTCTTCAAATACACCTCAGCGACAGGACCACCCACGACAGTATAACCATGAACTGTTATTTTATAATTGGTCAACCCTATCAATCCAGTAAGGTTAACCGAAGTGTCGTGACTGTCGACCGAGAAAGAGCCATCATACGCTTGGTGAAAACCAGGATCCTGTATTTCATATGTTACTCGGTATGATCTCAGTATGCCAGGGATAAATTCTGAATCGATTGGATCCCAAGTAAGGTAAAATGAAGTCCATGTCGTATTTGTTCCATTCAAGTTCAAGGGCGAAGTTTCAGGTTCTAGTTAAAACACAAAGTTCCAACGGATTAGGTTGAGGGAATTGAAGTTTGAGATGGCATGGATGCATAATGAAATGAAATGAAATGAGATGAAGGAAGGTCTGGCCAGAGACATTGTGGAATGAAGAGATCAAAAGAAATGTGGGGAGCTAAGTATTGTAAAGAAAGCGAGGGAAGCAAATGTGAGATGATATGGAGATGTAATAAAAACAGGAGAGTCATTTCCGATTCTCGGATTCAAGTGAAAAAAAACGTGAGATTCCAACGAATTATTTTAGTTAAGTAATGAATAATTTGAAGCCATTAGTTTTCTTTTAATGATAACAATTGAAGTCTTAAAAAAGTGTAGTGGTAAATATTTTAGAGACGAGGGAAGCAAGACTGAGATAGTATGGGTCGGACACGTCATAAGAAGAGATGAAGGAGAGCCCTCAGATACATTATCAAATGAAGAGATCAGAAGATGAGGGGGGGGGGGTAGACATTGCAGATAAGGTGAGGGAAACAAGGTTAAGATGGTATGGACATGTAATAAGAAGAGATGAAGGAGAGCCCTCAGATGCATTATCAAATGAACAGATCAGAAGATGTGGGGTGGTAGACATTGCTGAGAAGGTAGACATTGCTGAGAAGGTGAGGGAAGCAAGGTTGAGATGGCATAGACATGAAATAAGAAGAGATGAAGGAGAGCCCTCAGATGCATTATCAAATGAACAGATCAGAAGATGTGGGGTGGTAGACATTGCTGAGAAGGTGAGGGAAGCAAGGTTGAGATGGCATAGACATGAAATAAGAAGAGAAAAAGAGCTGGTCAAAAACATCATGGAATGAAGATATCAAAATATGTGGCGTGGTAGACATTGCAGAGAAGATGAGGGAAACAAGTCTGAGATGAAAGATGGAATGAAGGAAAGCTGGTCAAAGATATTATGGAGCTGGAGATAAAGGAGGAAAGAAGACAGGGAGACTGTGGAAGAGATGGACGGATTTGTGCAAAAGAAGATCAAGGAACAGATGGAGGACATGAAAACGGACAGAAAAGTATAGAGAGCGTGGGAACATCGAAATTTTTCAAATTATTTCCGCAAAAATGTTTCCCAGTTTTCTCAGGGTTTCACAAGATAATAATAATTACCATCTTCAGATGTCCGGATACACTGGACTTGTGATCGTGGACCTTCGCCAATCCTCGTAAATGCAGCAACTTGTCCACAATAGATTGTCCATTTCACCAGATACCGGAACATCTTGACTTCGTCGCTGACGGTAACATTCATGACATTTTGCGGATTAGACTGTTTCCAAAACGACATGTTATATCCAATCACAATGCCGTTACGTAAATGTGGGGGGATTGGTTTCCAGGTTGATTTGATGGACGTTGAACTGACGTTGTACCATATTATACTTGGTGGAGGAATCACAGGAACTGAAATACAAAGACAATGATTAGGGCGAGTTTTATTTGATATTTTGGCAAGTTTGAGATTGGTGTTGTCGACCAAAGTATTAGGCCGAGACTACCAAATTATCAAACACATGATAACAATGTTAAAGCTCGGTGTCCACTAGCAGAGTCCTTTGAGTCCTTTTTTATGTTTTGTGTTATGTATGCAAATCAAATTTACTTCTTATAGAGATTTATAGACACTCTGTCACCTTGATATGGCGTTTACAGCTAGGAAAGGAACAAACTCTCCACATGGTTTTGGAGCTGACCAGTAACTCCAGAATTCTTAATTCAAAGTTTTGAAATCGCTTATTTTCCCATTTAAATGTGGAGCATCGCTCCATGTGGCTCCGTAAATTTTGCAGCCATGGGAAGGACCTTTGCTCGAGAAATCTATACTTTTTCTGTGAAGACTGAGAAGTATTTATGAACTGTCATTCTAATCTGAAAATCAGAATCGTTACCTTCGCTCCCCCGAAAAAAACACACACAGCGATAAAGTAGCCGGTAAGCTCAGGTATACTTATCGTGAGCTTTTTTGGGGGTAAACAGTTGTGTAACTTTACTTTTTTTGACCACTTGCCCTCAGGGCAAGTTGGACATGAAAATTAGCTGCCCTGAATAAAATTCACTACTTGCCATCAGACAATGGTCACTGGGGTACCTAGGTAGGGGGTATAAATTAATGGAACAGCATGTCGACCCGTTCTCCCATTGCTCTATATGGCTATGTTATACTGCCTCAGATCTAGCTTTGGCCCACAAAATACAAAATTTGAATCAAGTGCCATGCACTATAAAAAATTTATCCGACAATGAAAACATAAACTTAATTAAATATGCCCAGCTTTTGTGGCAAGGCAACTTGCCCAATCGGACAAGCAAGATAAAACGTTTATTTGCCCGTCATGATATTCACTTGGGGTAAATCTTCAGAATGCCCAAGGTGCGATCATTACCAACCTCCTTCTTCAGTCAGAACAAACAGCGTTCTCCATGGACCTGGTAGAATGGTGATTGCGGTGATATTAATTTCATAAAGAGTCAGTCCATGTAAGCGTTCCAAAACAAGCGAATCGTAACTGTGTTCGATTTCAAGAACAGTTAGATTTTCGTTAGTGTAATTCAGATTTCGATATGTGAAGTTGTACAATCGAACTACGCCAGGTATCGAGGCAGCTGGTGGAGGTTCCCACTCCACTTTGATTGAGTGGATATTCACTTCGACGGCAATAAAATTTCTCGGCGCTTCTTCCGGAGCTGAAATATCATAAAATACATTAAACTTTAGAATTGTGTGGAAGATTTCTCCATGTCATTAGTCTGTCTCACGCCATTCGACTGGGCCTTGTTGGTCAGCTGGAGTTAGCAAAACGCGCAACAAAAATGGATACCAACAAATGAAGGAGTAATTTAGTGAAGTAAATAGTACTCACAAATAATAGTACACACGTAAAAACGCACAAGTTGTTACAAGTCTGCAAAGAAGTTGTTACAAATCTGTTCACAAGCTGTCGACAAGTTGTGTTCGCATTGCTTGTTCCGAGTTGTTGTAACAAGTTTGGAACAAACTGTTAATAACTTGTAACAAGCTTGATGGCATTATCTGACTTGGTACAAGGTTGTTCTAACAAGTCTGATACAGTCATGATATAACAAGAATGTCACAAGGTTGACGACACCAGGTTGTAACAATATCGTTATATTGTTATATCATGACTGTATCGGACTTGTTGGAACAACCTTGCAACAAGTCTGATAGTATCAACAAGGTTGATACAAGTTGTTAACAGCTTTGTTCCAAATTTGTTGAAAACGTGGGACAAGCAGTGCGAACACAACTTGTTGACGGCTTGTTGGCAGACTTGCTACAAGATGTGAGATTATTGCGTGTTCTTGTAGTATTTGGTAGGAAAACCTATAGTGTTTGGGACCAAAGGTGACTCCCAAATAATATCATGACTGTATCAGACTTGTTAGAACAACCTTGTACCAAGTCTGATAATGCCACCAAGCTTGTTACAAGTTGTTACTCCCACCATGCTACACTGAATTCCATCAATTAACTATGGTATCAACACTTACCGTCTTCAAAAGTTCGAGTACATTCTTTTACCGACTCTGGGCCATTCCCAACAGCGGTGAACGCAGCGACCTGAGCACAATAGGTAGTCCATTTCGACATATTCATCATGTGCTTATAAAATTCATTTGGAGAAAAAGTTTGTAAGGTCGGCGTCTGGACAGCTCCATTTCCTGTTTCTACCTTCGATATCCAGGTCCTATATCCTAGTAAGATTCCATTGTGAAGATCCCAAGGTAGCGCTGTCCAGTTCATATCGATTGAAGTCGAACTGATATTCACCAGACTTATATTTGGTGCAGCCAGAGGAACTGCAAGAAAATGAGACCAAACTTAAGGTTGAAAATATTTCTAGAGCCTATATCACTTTTCTAATTCAGTTAACTAATTCTGCCCAATTCAGTTAGTCCTTGTGGTTATTTAAGGCAGACGATACGCACACTTACTATACTAATTAAGTAAATGTAATGATTTTATGGTCGGTGGATAAATTCTTCTTCTACTTCTTCTTCTTCCGAAGGTAGGCAAACCAAAGAACATTGTTTGATAGCCATGTTTTCCGAAGGTGGACAAACCAGGGAACATTTAACAATTAGACAACGAGGCCGAGTTACCCATGACAGAATAGTAGTGGACATAGCCTGAGTTGACTGTTTGCCAAAGACGTTCCCTGGTTTGTTCACCTTCGGAAAACATGGCTAGGAAACCATACAAACTCCAAGCACAGTTGGAAACATTTAAATAAAATTTAATAGCATGCACGAGCGTTTGAATGATTTCCTTCAACCTTTAAATGATAGCCATGTTTTCCAAAGGTGGGCGACATGGTTTGCAAGCCATGTTTCCCGAAGGTAGGCAAACCAGGAAACATGGTTTCCTATCTATGTCTCTAGAAGTTGGGCAAACTAGGCAACATTGTTTCGTAGCTATGTTTTCCGAAAGTGAACAAACCAGGAAACATTGTTTCTAACCATGTTCTAGACAATGTTTCCGTTAACATGGACAAACAGATAGCAAAAAGATTTTGACCTACGTAGTTTCTAAACTACATGTATTAACAACCGACAATGGTCAATAACTTGTAACAGAAACCTACCTCCTTCATGTGTGAGAACTCTGATGGTTTGAGATGGTCCAGCACCAATAGTGAACGCCGTTATATTGATTTCACACAACATGAGACCAGTAAGACCTTCGATTGAGTAAGATGTTCTATTGCCTGGTGCTGTCAATTCAACCACTTCACTGTCACTGATATTCAGGACACGGTAGCTGATATTGTAATAACGTACGATCCCTGGCACTTCTGGAGGTGGTGACCACTCGAGTTCAATTGATGATGTGGTTACTTGTTTTGCCGAGACGTTAGAAGGTGGGTGTTCTGGTACTAGAATTACATAGAAATAATCAAGTTACAATGGAGCAGGGATGACTATTAACAGGAGGAAACCAGAGTATACCTGGAAAAAACCTGCAGTGTTTGCAGGCCCGGAACACCTGGGGGGTGTGAGGGTATAACACCACCCAAAAAAAGTAAAAAAGGGGGCCCAACTTGTGGGAAGTGAGCCCTGGCATCCTGGAATTGCGAAATTAAGGATTTGTTCGCTGAATTATGGAAAATTAATTCGCTGAATTATTTTCTGGGAAATGTTGTGTTGCGAAAAATTTTGGGAACTTTTGTTTTCGGAAACATAACGTCGACCCCCCCGGGCCCTGGAATGGAAGGGGGCCCCAATTTTTTTCATACCCAATCAGATACCGGTTAGCACGGCCCTGAGTGTTTGGTAAAGTATTTGGAAAAAACCGGCTGATTTTTAACCGTAGAGACATTACATCTTTTTTCCTAAGGACACTTTGCACTCATTATTCTTTTTGGAATGATCCAACTACTACCACTACCAATAGTCATATCAAAAATAATATCAGGAGTTGGTAAAAGTTTCAACATACCATCTTCTAATGTGCGAAAACATTCTGTGCCATTGGGACCAGAGTCGGCCATAGTAAAGCCGGCAATCCTGAAGCAATATACAGTCCATTTCTCTAAGTTCTCAAATAATATTTCACTGACATGCGGAGGAAATGTCATGTTGAATTCTTTAGATTCTTCTGACTCTTTCCAGTACGACATTTTGTAACCAACTAATTGTTTGTAATCATCGGTTGAGATTGGTAACAGGGTCCAGTTTAAATATATAGATGTTGAAGTGATGTTAGCCACAGTCATATTAGGACTCTCAGTGGCTGCAATGAAGGAAAGTTATAGTCAGTAATTATATGTAAGACGATTATACGACTAAATTAGAGCATCTATCTACGTATTTACCAGGGCCAGTTGTACAACAGCTGGATAGCGCTATCCATCGGATAGTGTTATATTTTCAAGCTTTCTAAAATAGCCTGTTGATTGGTATAATCAAGATTAAGCTTTACCATTTATAAATTAAACTCTCTTTTATTAATTGTGAGGTCCATATTCCTAATTTTATTGACATTTATACAACGGGGTTGAAAAAATTACTATTCGGTAGACAGCGCTATCCGGTCTTCGTACAACCGGGCCCTGTACTTAATTACCAACCTGCCTACTTATCTAACCACCTACCAACCCACTATTATACCAACCCACCTATCTAAATACCTATTTACCTACCTACCCTTCCTACATACCTACTTACTTATCTACCCACCTACCAATCCACACACCTACCAACCTACCTACCCACCATCCAACCTACCTGCTTACTTAAATACCTACATACCTACCTACCCTTCCCACATACCTATTTACTTATCTACTCACCTACCAATCCACCAACCTACCTACTTTCCCACCTACCAACCCATCATCCAACCAACCTGCCTACCTAAATACCTACTTACCTATCTACCCTTCCTACATACACACCTACCCACCTGCCAACCTGCCTACCTACCTAACTTACTTGCCAACCTACCTACCTACCTGCCAACCAACTTACCTACCTACTAGTTGCCTTCCTATCTACCCACCTGCCAACCTACTTTACCCTAATTTACTTGCCAACCTACCTACCTACTAGTTGCCTTCCTATCTACCCACCTGCCAACCTACCTTACCAACCAACCAACAAACCTACCAACCTAAATGACCAACCAATCAACATACCTACCTACCTTACTTACCAACCTATCTATCTACCCACCAATTGTGTTCCTATCTACCCACCTACCAACCTGCCTACCTACCTAATTTACTTGCCAACCTACCTACCTACTAGTTGCCTTCCTATCTACCCACCTGCCAACCTACCTTACCAACCAACCAACAAACCTACCAACCTAAATGACCAACCAATCAACATACCTACCTATACCTTACTTACCAACCTAACTATCTACCAATTGTCTTCCTATCTACCCACCTACCTGTGAAATACGTACTGTAATACTATTCAAATACTGAACAAAAACGTAATACATACGTATCCCATCGAGTGTCAAAGCGAAAACAGGATCACTAAGCAGTCCGTCACCACTGAGACTAAATGCAAGTACTCTCAAAGTATAATTTGTCAGAGGCTCAAGACCATCGATAATCTCCTCTGTGTAGTTAGCATACTTAGTTTTAGACACATATTCAGTATAACTCGCGTTTTCAGTCTCTGTGTATAGTATCTTGTATCCTTGGAAAACTCCGTTGACATTTCCTGGAAATATTGGCGACCAGGTAACTGATAGGGATGTGGCGTTCAGTCCAACTCCAGTGAGCTGATTTTCTAGACCGTTGTTGGGCACTGGAATATATAAGGGGAAAATTATGATCAAACTAAAGTGTGGTTGTTGGAGCTCAGGTGGGTGTTACAAGGTTTACCATAATACAGGGATGGATTTACTGGGGGGGGGCTAGCCCTGGTCAGAGGGGGTGCAGGGGGGTGCTGTTTTTCATGATAAAGCAAAAAATTATTAGAGACAAAATGAGATACAGTAATTTGAGTAATAACATGATGATAAGCAAACTGTGAACAACAATTACAATTCAAACACAGTAGTCAAGAAAGACTTTGCAGTAGTGAAGCAAGTTGATGGGCGGGTGGCACAACTCAGCACCAGAGCTGGCAAAGCCTCCCCCCCCCCCCTACCAGATCATGCTGGATCCATCCCTGCCATAATATATACCATTCACTACTTTCTTTAACACAAAAGTAATATTATATTTCCATGCACTTCAAAATCTGTATTTTTCATTGTATTTATAACATTAAATTTGTCCACTGGCAAACAAACATTAAGAAGTGATTCTTAGCTTTCTTAAGAAGTGATTCTTATCTATAAAATAAAAGTAGGCTACAAATATAGGGCACGTGTATAAAAAAAACGCAACCTCGGAATTTCCCAGAAATCGACATTGTTTTAAGGATAAAAGGATTTTGGGTGCCTGGGGATTTAAAATAACACAACTATCAGAGAATTGCTGCACACGCAGTGTAAAACAAAATGTATGCATTTATTTAATCGGACATAGTTTTCGGAAACATAACGTCGACCTCCCCCTCCGGGGCCCTGGAACATTCAACAAAAACAGTAATATGATCTATATTAGCAATTCGATTTCAATTCCCAGAGGCCCATTAAATCTTTTATGCTTAAGAATTGCAAGGTGGATTTCTCAGGAAATTGCGAGGTTGCGTTTTTTTTTATACATCCTGTACATGCAGTAAGATAAAGGACAATTGTTTTGTTAGAAAATCCTTTGCTCTTTCCTAATCCTACTCGCTTCCATCAAAATGTTGTTGCTTCAATATTTTTTAAGGACATATCACTTTCCAACACGAATTTTATCCATTCTTATATACTGTAGTAAATATGGCAAGCTTTGCTGATTACCAATTGATTAAGCAAGAGATCAAAAGATATATGAACATTTTTAACGTATAATTACCAGAGTTCGAATCAATTTCCAAGCCATTCACTTGCAAGCCATCGAGCGTGTTGTTCACATAAATAGCTTCTTCAAGCAGAAGAATATCGTAGTATGAAACACTGTGGTAAACGATGTCTATTTCAGCAACTGTGATACTTTGTTTCCTAGAGGAAAATAGGAAGACAATTAACTTTATTTCTACTAGATATAAACATTTCTCCCACGAGATAAAGTAAGTCATCCCTTACTGGTACAGTGCTACTATGGGAAGAAACTTAAACTGAACAAATTGTAATTATAACAGATAGCTCTGTCAGTTCTAAACTGTCCTCTCTAGAGGTACACTAAGGATCACGTCTAATTTGTCCAATTAACTTTTTTGATTGTTAGTGGAAGAGAAAATCGGAGGGTCCAAAGAAAATCTGCAGAATTTGGTAAAGTTTAAAGGCAGGACATACCCTCCCTTTATGCGATTAAAGCGACAATACAACCAGACAACATTGCCAAACTGAAAAATTTTATTTTCCTTGGGAAAAATGTGCTGAAATGTCAGATATTTTCACAGGCAATTTATGGCAGACCATGGGATCCTGCAGTCAGAAAGTGTCTTTTGCCAAATAGAAAAATCAGAAATCTGCTTCGTTCAAGTGGTTCACAAAGGCATTTTGCGCAGATTCTTCAAAAATTATTTGCAGTTTTTCTTAATTTGCAAAATTTACGCAGATTTGCGGCATAAGTGCAAGAATTTTTGCGCAGGAAATTAATTTCCTCCAAAGCCAAAAATTTACGGTCTGGGAAAAAACAAACTCGTACCCAGGGCTTCTGCGCTTGTGGAACCGTAAAAGATCTGGAGAGAAGGTGCACCACAGCACCAGACAACAGTATACCACAGAAATCGAATCTAGGACACACAGATAAAAGACACACGCACTAACCAATGAACATTCGAAAAGTCGTCAAATACTTACATAAATTTTCGTACATTGACATCGTTTATGAATGATCTTTCTCCTAAAGTCGCATTAACCTACAAAATGAAAGAACGACAAACTGTTGAGCTTGTGTCATGATAAATCACCAAAAGTTGTTTCGGCGTTGTTTATAACATTGAACTGGGAGGGGTGACAAAGTTTGTCTTGTCAAATGTGCATTAACTTCGCAATATTGTCTGAAATGGTCTCAAGGGTTATGTTCAAGATTGTTGTTGCTACGAAACATATATTGCATTACTCTTATTATCGCCATGCAAACATTTAAAGAATTCATTTCATTCCTGGTTTTATGCATACCTTGTTGCTGACAAATTGAGACATTGATCTGAAGACGTCGCTTTCATCATCGCTCAGCTCCTCCTGCCAAGCTATTGTCGTTAAATTTGCTTTAAACCAAATAGTTTGATTATATCCTAAAGATTATACGGAAGATAATTGTTCGCTTCAGGCAAATATCTCTTATGACGTCATCGTATGGCATCACAGTTAGTGACGTGCCATTGTACGTTGTTATATTGTCTGACGTCACCTAATAGACCATTTTAATAATACAGTTATACAGATGGATTTAAATAATCGTTTCTGTGCATTTCCAAGCTTTCTTGGCTTCGTTCAGCTTCAAAATATCTATATGCAATTGGCCTTTCTCGTAATGATGTCAAACACGAATAAACACTCGGTTACGCGGGACCATTTTTAACGACAATTTGCAACGCAAATGATGTTATATGAAATTGGATTGGTTAGGCAACGATTTGCGTGGCGAATTGTTGTGAAAAATTGTTCCAAAAGTTATCTATAAGGCCACCCGATGATGTCATATTTGATGACGTCATCTCATAGGCGGTATATGTGACGTCATATTATGACGTCACATGTGATGACATCACATCCTACGCAGTCATCCCACATGACGCCATCTTATGATATCTCATTTGATAACGTCATATATTGATGTCACCTCACACGATGTCGTGTTATGACAATATCTCATGATGTAACCACACGACGTCACTTTATGACGTTACATTACATGACGTCATCTGACTTGACATTTACGACGTCTTCTTATAACATCATAGATTGACGTAACTATATTTTACGACTGCAGCACACAATAAAATGGTGAATTGTCGCAACCAATTTAAATAATCATACCTGTAATGGTTTTGTAATACTCTAATGTGTCGTCTACTGAAAAAGCATCAAATAACAGTCTCAAGTCATCTATGGCAAACGTTTTTGTATCGCTACTGTGACCCCCAAGTCTTGTATTGATAACCGATCCTGGGCCTTGAGATAACAAAGTGCATTGTAGCGTAGTGTTCTTCACTTCGTGTCCATTCAAATATACTGTAAAATTTTCATCTTTTACAACAAAAATAAGGTGAGTCCATATTTCGGCTGGAGCAAATACTTCGAATTCACATTTGCGCAATGCAACGTTAGACCACACATGTAAGTGGTTCTTAAACGCATAATCGTTTTTCTGACCGATATAAAAACGAGGAGCAAACCCAAGCAGAACCCAGAAGGTATTTGAGATCTCCCCGTATTTCAACCAGAAGGAAAGCGTGAATGTTGGGAAACATGTACCAACAAAGCATTGATCGGAAAAACTGGCAAGAGAGGAAACACCACCTCTCTGTTCAATCGCTTGATCAATCACTCCAGGTATTCGATTCGCTGAATCCGCCATAGAAGAATTATCTGAAAAGGCATTTTTATCGTCCCTAGGTGGCCGAGTGTCCATGGTCCAAAGGTGATCATAAATGCCTAGAAAGAAAAATTGCGTTGTATATTCATGTTTCACGCACGGTATAGTTGACATTGAGGGCTTAGATCAAAGAGAAATATCCTTACATTACCAAAAATTTAAAATATTATTAAAATTATTATGTTCTTAACTTCTTGGTATTATTTATTAAAATTAATTTAATACTATTATTCAGATTATTAATACAATTAATATTATTTAAACTATTATTTAAATTTTTAATATTATTATAATGTTATTAAAATTACTAAAATTATTAATATTATAAAAACAACCAATATATTAATTAAAATAACCTAAATTTTGATTGTTTTAACCAATAAAATATTGGCAAATGGGAGCATTTTGGTTATTTTATTTTAATCAATCAGTTTTTACAGTGTATGTAGTATCTGTGATTCATGTAATAACCAATGGATAACTTGCATGTCAGACAAAATTTTAATCTAAGCAGAGAAAAGGGAATCAGACACCACAGCTGAAAAGAACATACTGAAATTAGTAAAAGTGCAAAATTTGGTTGCGAAATGTTGTAAAGCTTGGAAAATATAGCCTTGCAAAGTTTGCATATTTTCAGTATATTTGTATTACGAGCGGAAATTGTTACCATTTTTGAGCCGAAAATGGTAACAATTTCCGCACGTAATACAAATATACTGAAAATATGCAAACTTTGCAAAGCTATATTTTCCGAGCTTTACAACATTTCGCAACCAAATTTTGCAAGTTTACTAATTTTAGTAAGTTCTTAACGGGAATTTACTTTTTTTTGGCCTAGATCGGCTAGATAAAAAATTTGTCTAACATGCAAGTTGTCTATTGTAAATTACCTAAATCAGTAATGAGATTTGCAATGGTGATTCCAGCTACACACTAAATTTTGATCCAGGCAAAGAAGAACGAAATCCAACACCACATCCAAGAGCGTCTTAGAATGAGTAAAACTGCAAAGATTGTTGCTAAATGTTGTAAAATGAAGAAAATATAAGCCCTATGAAGTTGGCAAATTTTGTATATATTTGCATTACGTGCGGCGGTAAAAATAACCCCACTTTCGGCTCAAAAATGGTATTTTTTCCAGCGCGTAATGCAAATACATGCAAAATTTGCGAACTTCACAGGGCTATATTTTCCCCAGTTTACAACAATTCGCAACCAAACTTTGCAATTTTACTCATTTTAAGATTCTCGTTCCAGCTATGGTAATGGTTTCGTTCTTCTTGCCTAGATCAAAATCATCATCCATTGTATTTGTAGGTAAAAAGTTTATTTCAATAAAGTTTTCATCATTAATTAATATTATTAAAATTACAAATATTATTAAAATTATTAATATTATTACCACTCCGATATAGTGTAAACAAAATTATACTAAAAAAGCGTAGTGCATTTTTAACGGAATGCTAATCTCCTTGTCACAGTACACTGAGAATATCCTACATGGCCAATGAGTAAAACAGACACATAAAAAATATTTCAATCGGTAGGCATACCGTCATATACACACTGTAAAGATTTGACATCACATTTCATCCCAACCTCGCACGGAGGAACACATTCTAAAAATGAAAATATTATGCCAATCATTTTTACGTGCATTTGAATTGCGAGGGATGCAGCTCAACCGTTATCGATTCTAAATCCCAGATGAAACGAGGACGAGAGTACAGGAGAATTGGCAGTCAGGAGACTTTGGTTAGCTGATCTTAATGCCTTCCCAACACTATCATGTATTTTATTTAAGTTAAAAAATATATCTAGAGCTTGAAATGTCCCTTGTAAGTTCCCTAAGAGCAAAGATATTGGGGGGGGGATATACAACAACTTGCCGAGTTTGCATTTTTCACTAGTCAGAGAAATATCATCAACTGCAACATCACTTTGGAAGCCTTCACCACGCTTTGCTTCGATTATTATCTAAACACAAAATAACATAGAGAGTTTGAGTTTAGACTGTAAAAGTAAGACTTTTGGCATCAGACGGATCTAGATTTATCAGTTCTAAACTTTTCTCCATAGAGGTCCAGTAAGACGCATTGATCAAGTGTTACTACAGGGGGTGTTAGGAGGAAACCTAATCTAAACTGACTATATTCATACTAGATAGCTCTATCAGTTCCTAATGATCTTGCCAGAAGAAACTTTACCAGATAAATAATGAAATATTTCGTACTTATTTTTGTACATCAAAAAATTTCTCTCAACTTCGACAATCACTACGTTTTTCCGTCTGGGCAAAACAGAACCAAGTAAACGCACCCTACTAAGGAGCAGTTCACTATCCGGGAAAAATGTTATGACAAAAAGTTAGCATCAGTATCCGATTATTATCCGGTAGAGCCCAGTACCATCCGATATCCGGCAGAGCACATCCCTACTGCATAGCAAAACTTTACCCTGAATACTCCAGTTACATCAAGGTCATCATCATCGAGGTCAACTTGCATCATTCTCCACTGGTTTCCAACATCCCCGGAGACTTGAGTAAGAAGTACACGTTTCTCACTGCTATCTGTTGCATAAACACTCAATGTTCCCATGCGTCGACCGTATAAATGATACCAGAATGACAGGCATTTGTAATGATCCAAAAAGGTTGGACTCTCCATGATTGCTACGTCCATAGCGTATGCTGGTCTGGACGCTTCGGTTGTCATAAACATGCCTGGGAGAATAAAGTATATACTTTACTCTAATTGACCATTTGCGTAATAGACTAAATTTTGATCTAAACAAGTCTAGACAAAA